AATATCGTCCCTCAACATGAGGAGCTGGCTCGATACGGTTCAATGAGCGTGGATGCTTTGCTTGCTGTGGCAAGTACGACTGGCAACAAGGAGCTGGCAGATCTTCTAAGCCTGAGTCAAACCATATCGAATCACTTGCGGTCGTTGGCGATGTCTATCAAGAGGAACAATATTCTGATGACTCTGGCGCAGGAACGTTCTCCGAGTGACATTGACAGCACCGTCTGGGTTCAGTATCCTGCTTTTGCGCCCGATGTTGCTGCGATTTTATCGGGGACGGCGACGAAATCTCTCCTAGTTGACACCTCTGGGAAAGCACACAGCTTCGTGCAGATGATGCCACTTGGCGATACAAACCGCTATTTCAGCTATGGAAGCATGTTTGTCGACGTCTGTATCACATCGAGCGACGATGATGACAAGCAACATCCTGTACCATGCGCTTTGTCCATCATCCGGGATAGGGCTGACTGGTACGTTTTTGCGGCCATAACTAGCCAGAGCGATCTGGTCAATATCGTGATACAATCCGATAAGAAGAACGGTCCTACGTGGGAAAGTGTTAATTGGCACGTCCGGTCACACTCAATGCGCGTTAAGCTTCCCCGCGGCTTTGAGTTACATGTTCAATTCCAGGAAGAGGATTTTAAGAACATCTGGAACATTGTTCAGTACACCTCCAAGACCGAAGCGAGTCTCAAGCCAGAGAAAAACGAGACATTAATTTACGAGAATACCCTCAAGACTTTCCGCTACATTGACTCTGTAACTCCCAAAGCCTTCCCTTCCGAGCCTGTGGAAAGATGTCGCATACGCCTCTTCGAGAGAACTGTGCCGTTGACTGAGGGCACAGGCCAGCGTATGCAGCACCAGGGCTTCCGGATAGCGATACTTACCAGTCCGAAAATCAAGACTCTGAGCAGTGTGCGTCACATTCTCGGAAGTGGCGCCCCTATAGTCTTTGGCCTTCTCCGTGGTGACGATGGGGCACCTGCTCTTCTTCTGAAAGTCAAGGAGGATGGTAGAACCAGGTCTATGCTGATGGCATTCGAAGAGCTCGAAGAGCGAACAATGTTGCATTCTCTCCTGTTGGGAATTCTTCCGCAGGAACGGGAAGCCAAATCATCGGATATCTCTATTCGGGCCTTTACACTTGAGCAGCCCGCGGATCGAGCTGCGGGAAAACCCGCTAAGGAACATATCCAATTCCCCGCTGGCACGATCTCGATCATAGATGAGCAGTATACACGACCGGATCATGGTTATGGCCCTACCGTTCTTTCGGAGCATTTGCGTGCGTTCATCGCGACGGAATGGGGTTCGGTTACGGACCGTCTCAATCTTGGTACGTATGTGGTTTTGATGAACTGGTAACATGGCTGACGTATTGCAGGCCCTGGTGAGTTGAAGCTTGGCCTTGATGTCAACAATCGAACAGGTCTTAGCCTATATCGACCAGGCCAGAAAGATCTTACTGTTTCCGTTGCGGAGAACATGGTCATTCCCGAGATGCCTGATAAACTGACCGACTCTCTCTCCAAAATTATGGCAAACCCGACGATTCGACGCTTCGACTTTGCAACCGTGCAAGGTACGGTCCCTACACTCCTGGCAGCATGAAGACCAATTGATTGTCGTTTTAGATCTCCACACATTTCAACAGGCCGTGACAGGGTTCAGGGTGCTTTTTGATAGGTAGATTCCCAGAGAGCCTTTCTCTCCCTTTTCCTCCGATGCTGACGGAATAACAGTGTGGCCTCATCATTCGCCATCTCACGGCGTCGTATGGTGGTTCCCATCACCAAGAAATGGGAATCGAGCCTCGCCCGGGTCCAGGTCATCCGTCGGGACAGAGTCGTGCAACTTGTGGCTTTCCTGAGCGATTTCCAGTATGGCAGATGCATGAACTTCGTTCTCAAGGGCACAGACACTCTCGAGCCGTTCGGCAAATCCGGCAAATTCGGCGTCCGCATTGTCGATGCCAAGTTTGCGTTGCCGAAATCCGACGACGATCCTGCCTCCAACTTTGTCTCTCTGGATACACCGGATTACCCAATGGAGCATGACGATATCTCGATTGCCTTCGACTCTGAAGCAGGTATGTATTCGATCTTTCACTTCAAACGTTTGTCCTCTGTCTAGGTATCTAATTCGCCGGGGTGGTGTTGTATAGACCGGACCAATTTCCAATCCGCTGTTCCAGGCTCCGTCCGTGAACCATCCCGGATGGGCTCGCTTCGCCGATAATCCATACGCCCGACAGTTCTTCCCCACTCAGACCCGAGACAACTCCTTTCGTTTCCAACCTCTTATCTGGTGTCGGAACCGCGTAAACTCACGCCATCCCAGCTCCACCCCGCATCAGTCACGTGCCGACTCACCGCCATGGAGAAGCTCTTTTCCTTCCCCCACTTTTGTTTCAAGTCACCGGAAGGGCGTGCCGCAATCCCCGGCTTTGACCTGCCCCCCTCTCTTCCCCAAACCGCCCTTTTCATCCATATTCCCTATTATCAAATAAGCTCCTGTGTGACATAGCACATACTCCTCTGCTAGGGCTGTTATTGCTACTTTCTCGTGGAAAGAAAAGTACAAGATGGCTCCTGCAAATCGAGAAATGGGAACTTCCACGCGCTCACTCCATGCGGATGATGCGCTAAATGTGGTTTCAGACGTTGCTCCTCCAATTCACGTTGCCACTACTTTTCGGTACTCCGATAACCCTGACGATCTTGTGCCCTTCGCAGACCTTTCAGGCGACGTATGTCTCGAGCTACCCGTATGAAGTTCTCTGGGCGCTTCTAACAGTCATGCCGCAATATAGAATGAGCGGGACAAAACAGCACACATATACTCGAGATTGTCGGCTCCCAGTTCTACGCGCTTTGAAGCCATTCTCTCATCCCTTCTCAATGGCGAGGCCATCAGCTACTCTTCCGGGTTGTCAGCCCTGCATGCTGCCCTAACGCTGCTCAACCCTCGCCGTATCGCGATCGGAAATGGCTACCATGGGTGTCACGGTGTGATCGCACTTTTCAGCCGCGTAACTGGACTTCAGAAGCTGGACCTCGACTGTCCCGCGGAGCAATTAGAAGCAGGTGATGTAATCCACTTGGAAACACCGGTGAATCCAGAGGGAACCGCATTCAATATCGAAGCATACGCCAAGAAGGCGCACTCGCGAGGGGCGTACCTTATTGTCGACGCTACGTTTGCACCTCCGTTCCTCCAAGATCCGTTCAAGTGGGGCGCCGATCTGGTCTTGCATTCGGGGTCCAAATATTTTGGGGGCCACAGCGATGTTCTATGCGGTGTGCTTGCCACTCAGCGCGAGGACTGGGCTAAGCAGCTACTTCAGGATCGGATCTTCCTGGGCAGCGTTATGGGGAATATGGAGAGCTGGCTGGGTGTGAGGAGCTTGCGGACTCTCGAAGTGCGGGTTCAGCGCCAGAGCGAGAACGCGACCAAGCTTGTTTCGTGGCTACACCAAGCGCTTTCCGACCAGAACCCTGCTTCTAGTAGCGACGAGGCTTTGGTTCAGGCAGCTCTTGACAGTGTGCTTCACGCGAGTCTGCAGAAGGAAGATGAGTCGTGGTTGTTGAAGCAGATGCCTAATGGATTTGGACCTGTCTTTTCGATCATCACGAAGACGGAAGATTACGCTCGCAAACTCCCTAGCAAGCTTGCCTTCTTCCAACATGCTACTAGCCTTGGAGGAGTTGAAACGCTTGTTGAATGGCGGACTATGTCGGATACCACGGTCGATCGCCGGTTGCTGCGGATTAGTGTTGGTTTGGAGAATTGGGAGGATCTTCGCCAGGACTTGGTGACTGCATTCAAAGCTTTAACCGAGAGCAACTAGATTATGCGATAAGAATAGAAAGTAATTACTACAATCAGTATTTGTGTGTAAGGAATAAGGGTGCGCAATGCGTACTGTGTAGTGAGCGGGGCTGCTTATCGCCGCCTCCTTTGCCGCGGATCTTCTCTTATCTCTCTACAATTAAGTTGCATAAGTTATTAATCTGACAACCTCACCTCCGAACCGCGCAAACAAGACGACTCAACCCTAACAGCTCCTCACCCGAGTCAAGTCAACCACCTCCTTCTTCTCTCCAGCCAGGTGTCTCTCTCTCTCTCTCTCTCTCTCTCTCTCCATCTCTCAAGATTAAACACAACCTCACACCTACCCATCCATCCACCATACACACATATCGAGATAAAAGCCAACGAGAAGAAAACCAATCAACCCACTAGCAACAATGTCAACCTTCCAGATCCATTACTTCTCCACGGCCACCAGCTACACCGGCAAGCAGATGGAGCGCCTGCCCGCGCCCCTACCCCTCGACCAACTATTCCCGCTCCTGGAGGCGCGGTACCCTGGCATCACGGCGGCAGTACTCCGCAGCTGCGGCGTCAGCGTGCGCGAGGAGTACGTCGATGTCGAGGGCGAGGATGCGCGCACGGTGGTCATTGGGGCCGGTGATGAGGTCGCGGTCATTCCGCCGGTTAGTTCGGGGTGAATTTTGGTGTAAGTATGTTCTGAGACCGAGTTCTTTGGGTTGGGGTCAGGGTGTGGATTGGGGGGTAAACTTATGGCTGATTATATTGTGGTTCTAGTTTTGGTTGGACTATGTTATTTGTTTTTTTTTTGGTGCTGAGCTGGTATAGTATATATGATTCCGGGGAGGGTGGGTGTATTAGCTCGAGTATTAAGTCTGAAAATAGGAAATGGGAAACAGAACAGAATCCAAAGTACATAAGTGGAAAAATGGTGGATGAAATGAAGGGAAAGGCGGGAGGGACATTCAAGAGAGAAATCTGAGAACAAGAGAGGTCCACCGTTGTGGTACAGTCCAGTACAGTCCAAACAAACAAACAAGCATTTCTTCACATCAACGCCACTGTTACCACCACCAACAGGTCAGCAGGTCAGCATTACTTATCCTTTCATCATCATCACCCCAGGAATCCATCGCGCAACAGCATTTCATCATCCTCTACCCCTCCGACTTCTCCACCCCAGCCTTCTTCTTCTGTCGCCAGAGAACGATCCCACAGATCGCGGAGAAGAAGAACATGATACTAAGGTATCCATCGTTAGCCCAAGCCCAAACCCAAGCCCAAACTCATCTCTATCCCCCACAACAAGAGAAAGGGGACCAAAACGCACCATAAAGCAATACTCAACCCCCAAATCGACTTGGCCTCCAAACACACCGCCTTGGTCGCCCCGATCCAGTTGCTGTAGTTGACTTTCCCATCCAGATGGTCGAGATAACTGCTCAGATGCGTGGCAAAGGTGTAGGCCGAGGAGTTGTTGTTGTTGCTGCTGCTGCTGCTGCTGCTCCCGATCTTCGTGCATTGCAGGTACGACAGCGGTTTGCCCAGGATGACGGCCACCACGATCACGGCAATGAGGAGCAGCGTGTCCAGGACGGCGGCGGCCAGGAAGGGGAGGATGTTGTCGTAGTAGAGGATTGTGGTGATTAGTGCGTAGATTACGGCGATGCTTGTCTTTTTGATGGGGTTGTTAGTTCTGGGTGTTTTGGGTAAGGGGTTTGGGAAGGCTTGGGGGGGGGTAAGGGAGGAACTGACAACTGTGATGGTGCCGATGAAGATGGCCGGGGGTGTGGCGTTGTTGGACACGATTTCTGAGATGAAGTTGGCTGTGAGGCCGATGATGGTGATCAGGCTGCACATTTGGATCAGGCGCGCGATTAGGAAGGTTGCGCCTAGGAGGCCGTAGGGAGGCATTTTGTTGATGGTTTGGATTCTGTGAATGTGGGTGTGCTGGTGTATGTGTCTGTGTGCTCGAGGTTGCGAGGACAAGGTCGACTTTGGGTTGGACAATGATTATGAGGGGCTAGGTGATGATTATAAGGTGCTTTGCAGCGAAGGAGTGTAGATGTGAATAGACACAATCCGGACAAAGGAAAGAAAGTATGGAGAGAAAGTATAATGAATAGGAAGAAGGAAAGTGAAGGCAAGGAGGGTGTGAGTTACTCTGAATAGACTTATTGAGTCAACTTGAGAAGTATCCGGTTGAGACAATGAGGCCTTAAATACTGTGTACATCTCCCCCATCTTGTCTCATCCTGCTCCCATCCCCCAACGATCAACGATCAACAAAAGAAGCTCAGGTCTAGACCACCATGCCATACTGAGCTTCTCATTGCCCTCTGCTGCAGCGCCAATGGTCGACTCGCATGGGTCCAGTCGAATGCTGAGTCGGGAAGCGAGCGCTTACAATCTCGATTGGCATCCACCCTGGCGCGTAGCGATCTCCCTTCTCCGGGACAGCCGGCCACTCCTAGCCAACAGCCACCAGAGCTTATTTCGACCTGAGACAACCGTCTGTCAAGGACTGGCGCTCGGGAAGGTAGCTTTGTTACGGAGACCTTTGCCCTGGTGAAGCGCTCCCTGGTCTGTTTGCACGCATGGGCCCTAGCCATTTGCCTGTGATAGCGATACTGGATCAGAACTGTCTGTCGGATCTTATTATAGATGCAGACACACGGAAGCGTCTGCATGCAGATCTGTGTCGCCAGATCCCTGGATTTCGAGCCGCTGTCCCGCATCTCTATATTAAGCATGGGGGTCAGACCCTGGCCCTGCGTAGATGAGGCTAATTCGGGGACTGGCCGTTGTTGGCGGTATGTCAACGTGACTAACGCTAGATGAAATACTCTGGTCCCGCTTTCGCACGAGCCTTATTCCCACAATGAGAGGGTTGGCTCGCTACACTTGCACCATATGCACGCGCTGGGCTTGTCGGTGGGTGTTGGCCCATCCGTATAGCAAGTCTTCTGAAACCGCCGTGGCTATGTCACGCCAATTGATGCGGAAAATGCTTCTGAGCCTGATCTAGGCACTGGGCAATGCTATTTGCAGCCACTAATCCGGTGGTGAGTTGATACGTATCTGGAGCAGATAGAACGAGCCACCAGCCATCGGTGACGGTAGGGCCACTCGATCGCTCGCAATTGTCCTCATCTGAGGCTGTCCGAGGTGATGCTGCATACAGCTTGACTATTTTGTCCTCAAACATGGGCCCGGTCTCTTCTAATGATAGCGCGCAATTTATGTGCTCGTTGCATTCTTTGTGTCGAGACCGCCTTGGGATGCCAATCTATGGCATTGATCAAGTTAGTCAACTCATGTTTCGCAGAGAGTGAGGTAGGTGAGACCAGAATGTCGCTAGTGACTGGGATCGTGGTATCATCGGTCTTCGTATCCACTAGTCAACAGGCTGGACAAGGCATTTCCCTTCACTTTATCGAAGCAGGAGGATAGCATGCAATTGACCTCGACTGGCACTCAGACCATGCTGTAGGGATTTTGGCACAGAGATTGGCAGTGTAGTGAGTATAGGTAAGCGAGCTAAAATAGTGAGCTCGCTTTCGAGGAAAGACTATCAATGAATAATTTCCTGTTTGAGGTTCATCCTGCCCTTGCAGTGTCCAGATGTGCTGTATACATATGCACCTTGGAAACATCTATAAAATGACTAATCATTGATGGCAGACTGTCTGACCGCCCAAGCGGTGAGTGGCAAATGCCGGCATTATCAGTGGATTTTTCGGTGTCGTGGATTTGCCGCCGTGCGCTCTTTCCCTCCTCCTGCCTCTCAGATACACCTGCTCTGCGATTGTTGGGCATGTATGATGGGTGCTCCAGAATGTCCTTGCTACTTTCCAAGGCGAGAGTCTCGCAGAGAGTGGCTGGTGTGAATCGCTATGCCTCCAACCTGAAGCTGGTCCGGACCTGCGGGATCGCAGCATCGCGTGCCTCCCCGAGATCAAGTGTCAGCAATCCCACTAAAGACTATCTTATCATCCAACGGCGACAGTTCAGTCTAGGATCCAAGGTAAAATAATCCATCCGAATGCTTTGCTTACTCCGGTGGTTAATCGCTGGTTGTCTAGTGTCTCTCCCCTCAAGATCATCCTCAAGACTATGAACCGTCCAAACCGACGGCTTCAACTCAAGGCGACGACCTGCTGCAATCGGCACTTTCACTCGAGAATCTTCGGCTGCGACTCGAATTTGAGAAGTACGGAAATGTTCGAGACTATCTGCAGAAATGGCAAGACAGCCAGGATAATTGGGCAGACCCTGTCCGAGGACCTGGAACCGCGAATAAGATGCTCGCGACCGATGCCTGGAGAGGGAACATGCTGAACGACAACCGTGAAGCTATGGATGCAGGATTTGATGCCTTACGAGAGTCAGACGATGATGCGGAGCTTCACAACAGAGACGATGAAGGCGCGGGTCTGAATCACTACCTGGAGCCAGGTGACCTTGTGGCCATGTCAGCGTAAGTGAGCTCCGAAAATTCTTCATTTCTGCAATAACCTCGCTGATGTCCCCCCTCCAATTGCACAGGTCTGATGGGATCCTTATTTACGCAATTTACGTTCGCTCTATTGCCAAGCAGCAGCAATTTTACACGGATAGAGGTAAATGGCGCATCGGTTTCAAGAGGGACCTTGAATACGTCGTGAAGGGATTCGTGCCGCGGGAAATGGTGGCGTCCCTTCTGCCTCACTTTCCCGAAGATCTTGCTGCGATGAGTAGTGAATTTCAGTCCACCATCGAGGGCGGAGTTCCCAGGCATGCAGGAGCTCATCTCATCAAGAAGATCCAAGAGTTCGACTTGGGCGTGCGGGAAATCTACCGCAATAACGCGCTACGGCTGGACAACCTCCACGACTTGGTGGCAGACGACGAATCAAACTTGTTATGTACCCTCGAAGAACTGGCCTGCAAGGCTCTGGAAATCGAGGAGGACCAGTTGGATCCAACGTTGCTTTTCCTCATTCATCGGTGCGTCCACGAGAACTCGTTCCTGATCGATTATGACCGGAGCTCTCTTTTCGTCAACCATTACCTAGTCAGACCTCGACGTGTTGCTCGGGTGATAAATACCGTCTGCACTTGGGTGCATGAGCACCAAGATTATATTGTCAACTCAGCCCGTGGCAAGGACACCCCCTATATCCGCAACCATCCTCTACAGCAGTTTCTTTTAAAGGCCCAGCGTCTCATTCGGCAGAGTCGGACTGTGCGATCCCCAACCACCGTGGCATGCGTGGGCCCAAGCGCTGTACGAGTCGAGCCCAAAGAGAACGCTAGCCCTGCGATATACCGTGAGGTTCCCACCGAGAAGTTCAACGACGATGATCGTGCCATCATAGAATACTTGCAGCATTGGTGCCTGCCTCCTCGGCGAATGACAAGAGGTCATATGCGGTCCGCGGGGTCGCATATCATGCGCAGCACCGGCATGTACAGCGCGGTGGAATTGGGCCCCGCGACAGCCACGCTCTTCTTGCAGGAGCTAGGTGTATTCCATCCTTGGGAGAATACACGTCTTCTCGACCATCATCTTGCTCTTCCCGGGCATGGGGTCTCTCACGAAAGCGATAATCTGTGGGCTAGAGTAGCCGGAGAAGCCCAATTGCTCGCGGACAAGAGCCAACTCGAAGATTCCATGAAGGATTTGCGGGTTGATTGGGGTGATCTGCAAGTTTACTGTGTAGACGATGTTAGTGCAAAGGAGATTGATGACGGTGTCTCACTCGAGCGCATCCCCGGATCAGACGACACTTTCTGGATTCATATCCATGTTGCCAACCCCACCGCATTCTTGGATCACGAATCGAGCATCATCAAGCGGGCCGCATCTCGAGCCGAGAGTCTTTACGTCCCTGAGCGTAGTTATCCCATGATTCCCGACTCCGTGACGCAGAAACACTTCAGTTTGGGCCCGAACCGTCCCACGCTCACATTCAGCGCCAAGATGAATCTCCAGGGCGACATTCTGGACACTAAGGTTGCAAACGGTACGATTCGGAAAGTAACATACATAACTCATGACCGACTACGCCGCATCTTCAAGCCAGACACCGAAGCCAACGATAGCACTCAGAACCTATCCGTGGGAGGAGAATTTCCCGAGCGAATCGCTGGTCGTAAGGGAATCACAGAAACGCTTACTCCTGAGGATGAGGAAACCTTCCACATTCTCCGTCAGTTGATGGCGGGCTGGCGTGAACGTCGTCGTGAAAATGGAATGCTGGAATTCCACTACCCGCCCCGAGTTTCCGTTTCCATGTCAGTTGGCTCCGTTGCTCTACCGCCGCGAAAGCTGGAAGCTACCGAAGGCCGCTATGTCCTGGGCGACCCGGTGATCCGACTCCGCCATCACAACATCGACCTACAGGCGGTCCGCGACGATACGACCGACAACCTGATCTCTCTTCTCATGAACTTGGGATGCTGTGTTTCCGCCTCCTGGTTGTCGTCGCGCAACATCCCCGCCGTCTACGACGGCACCCAGTACCACCCTGAGTATCGCAAGCTTACGCGGGAGAACATAGAACAAATCGGCGGCCAGGAATGGCTGAACCTGGCCTCCCCCACGGGCATCTCGCTCTCCCGCCCCATCCGGCACGTCTCGCTCGGCCTCGACGCGTACGTCAAGTCCACCAGCCCGCTCCGTCGCTACAGCGACCTGGTAGCCCACTACCAGATCGAGGCAGCGCTGCGGTTCGAGCATGCCCACAACCGTCGTTTGGACGCCGCCGCCGCATCCGAGACGGAAGGCCGCTCCGTCCTCCCCTTCTCCGCGGCCGACGTAGACCGCTGGCTCGCGCGGTCCCTGTCGTTGCGCCTTCGGCTGCGCGAGTGCGAGCGCGCCTCCATGCAGTTCTGGGCGTGTCTGCTGTTCTTCCGCGCGTTCTACTTCGCCGAGTCCCCGCTGCCGGCGACCTTCCAGTGTCAGATCAGCAAGCGCTATGATCAGGCGGACCTGGCCAGCACGTTCCAAAGCAGGGGCTGGAACGGCGTCCTCTCCGCTTTCGGCGTCCGGTGTCGGGTTCTCGTGCCCCCCAGCATGCCGGACGCGGACCAAGTGGATGTCATGAGTCTGGTGGAGGCCAAGGTCACGCTTGTCGATATGGACCGGATGCTGGTCGTCGTGGAGGCGACCCGGTTCATCTGTGGCTCGCCCGCGCAGTCAATGTTGGGGGCGTATAGACCTACCATGGCTTAGCGGGATGTGTGTGTGTGTGTGTGTGTGTGTGTGTGTATGTGTACAATCTGGCTTCTGGGTGTATATTGTTTCATGCCATTGTGCACCATGTAAGATACATAGTATACCATATCTCTCTCTTATTTTAGCGACGTCGGCACAACTGTCTTTTGGAAGTACTCTGTAGGTGTATTTGCGTAAGCGATATCCACATGCTGGACAACATTCTATAACAGTCAACCACCCGGAAACTCGGTACAGTAACATTCCCTGCATATTCAAGTATATTCAACCGTGAGCCCCACGTATGCTCTGAGGGAGATATACAGCCCAAAAGCTACCTAATCAAACCCATCAACTCAAGCACCAAACACCTCCTTTACGAGCGTCTTCTTATTGACTGCAACAGAATTAGCCACCGCCCTCAAGAAGAAGAAGAGAAACAGGAGAACAGAGAAGATAGAACTGGGGACATACCCTTGCCCATGGCATTCCGCGGAATAGGTCCACTCAGGACCTTCATCTCCTGCGGCAGCTTGTAATTCGCCAGCCGATTCTTCAGGGCGCGCCGCATGTCCATGGCGCCCCAGGGCTTACCGTTACGGCCGCCCGTGTTCGCGAATTCCGGGTTCAGCACCACCACGGCTGCGACCTTCTGGCCCCATTGGTCGGAGGGGAGGCCCACGACAGCAGCTTCTGAGATTTGAGGGCTGTGCCGCGCAGCAAGAGGGGTTAGCGTGGGGAGAGGGGGAAGACTCAGACCAGGGTTGGGTAAAGGGGTAGTATACGTACAGCGAAAGCAACTCGCGCTCGACCTCCAGGGCGCTGACCTTCTCGCCGCCGGTCTTGATGATGTCGACGCTGCGGCGGCCCTGGATGAAGTACATGGGGCCCCGGGCCCAGTCGCCACTGGCGCCGGAGCCGGCGCCCTCGACGAGGCGGCGGGTCGCGACGTCGCCCGTCTTGAACCAGTCACCCCGGGTATCTTCGGCGGGCACGAAGGACTCGCGCGTGGCGGCGGCGTTGGCCCAGTACTCCTGGAAGATGGTGGGCCCGCGGAGCTGGATCTCGCCCTCGCGCTCGCGGCCGGTGCGCGGGTCGATCTCCTGGCCCGGCCGGATGACCTCGTCCGTGTCCGTGTCGACCAGCCGCGCCTCCACGGACGGCAACGGCCAGCCGACGCTGCCGTCGACGCGGTCGCCGACCGCCAGCCCGCAGCTGATCGCCATCCCCACCTCCGTCATCCCGTAGCGCTCCAGCAGCACGTTGCCGTCGCTGAGGGCCTGCCACGCCTGCTTCGTGGGCGTCGGCAGCGCCGCGGACCCTGAGATGTTCAGCCGCAGGTTCGCCGGGCGGATGGCCGTGCGGGCCGCGGTTTGAACCTCCGGTTCGAGGGTGGGGAAGGACGAGAGTAGGCGGTTGTAGATGGTCGGGACGGCGGTGAGGAAGGTGATGATCTCCTTCTTCTTCTTCTTCTTCTTCTTCTGTGGGTCAGGCACCGACTCCGGAAGGAACGGGGCGGCGAGCCGCTTCCACACTGCGTCCGTGTTGAACGGGAACATGAACTCGATGGACGAGCCGGCCAGGACCGGCGTCACGATCGCGTTGACCGTGCCGTGGATGTGGTGCAGAGGAAGCAGGTGGAGGAGCCGGTCCTGCGCGGTGTACTCCCATGCTTGGAGGAGCGAGGCCGCTTGCGCCGTCAGCGCGGATTGCGGGATCAGGACGCCTTTCTGCGCTGGTGTGTCAGCACCGTCCCTTACTTTCTTGGAGGAAGAAGATGAAAAGGAAAAGATAGCTTCCGTACCGGTCGGTTCGTGGTCCCGGAGGTGTACAGCATCATCCCACCGCGGGGTTGCTGTCCTGTAACGTCTTCCAGGGTCACCGACGAGGAGCCCAGACTCGTGGCTCCCACTTCGATCTTCTTCTTCACGTCAAGGATGGGTTCCCGGTCCAGTCCGGCGTTCAGGACGTCCTGGGCTTTGTTGGCGTACTTTTCCGTGGCCAGCAGGACCTTGGCCTGCGAATTGTCCATGATGTACTTGAGTTCGCCGACCGGGAAAGCAGGGGAGAGGGGGAGGGCGATCGCGTCGCTGGCGAGGATCGAGAGAAGCGTCACTGCCGTCGCGGTCAGTTCAAGGACCTGTTCTCAAGTATGCGGAGAGGAAACAGGACAAGCCGAACAGTACCTACGTAGTCGTAGCTGTTCTCCGCCAGGAAAGCAACCCTCTCCCCCGACAAACTGCCATGACGCCCTCCTCCAGATTGTATGAGTTGCTCCTTGGCCTGTAGGACATCTGCGACCAGGTTGCCGTACGTGAAGGAGCGAGACGATGCGCTGTGGACGACCGCCAGGTTGGATTGGTCGTGGTTCTGGAGGGCGCGGAAGAGAGGCAGGTTCGGCAACGAGGCGAGCGATCGACGGCTTGCAGGTGTCAGGCCAGCTCGAGCGCGAGCATGGCGGACCAGACGGGGAGAGGCAATTGAGCCCCGCGACAGGACTAAGATCAATGGGCGGCCTGGCATGATGAAGCTTGGAGAAGCATGCAGTGCATGTTCAGGAGTCTGGGTGAAAGATGCTCAGAAATCACGAACTGATGTCATTTTCAGAAGAGCTCCCGCGGAGGTTGGCGGAGAGTCGGCGGTCTCGGCGCTGCGATAAGACCCTTTGCTCCGGTTATCGGCGGTTCCCCATGTCTGGAGCTTCGTCCGGGGAAGCGATCACGTGTATCCTTCTGGAACTATAAAACAGTTAGATCTTCGATTTGTATAGGTCGCGGAGCGTCCGAAGCCTTCTACGAGGAAATACGGGGGAGAGAGTTACCCCTCGCTGGATTATATTTAGAACGAGCTTGAGTCTAGCAATGGCAGGGGGAATAACCTCGACTTTAAGGTGCACTAAAGATCCCTGAACACAGAATCACGCCGCTTTCCCTTGCACTTTTTGGTCAGTGGCTCGAGTTCGAGCCGTTTCTTTGCCTTTCTACCTTTTCCCTCTTTTTAAGACATGGCTTGCAGGCAGGTGAAGTGGGTTGCGGTGAATGAAAGGAAGGAAGGGGTGTTACAGGAAGGTGGATGTTCTCGGATTCTGCAGATGAATCAAGATATGCTTTACTTGCGGATGATGATGGGGTATTCGAGAGGGTATTCTCTCTCTCTCTCTCTGCCGGGAGAAAATAGATGAATTCGAAGACGATAGGCTTGGGGCACGTCAGGATTACATACATTACGGTGGGTGGGTGATCTTACAAGTGTATACTAGAGCAAGAAATCTGAACAAAGCCTTTGAGATATCACCATCTTTACAATGCCATCTACCTAGACAGTGTCGGTATCTTATCTTATCTCGAGAGGTGGTCTCACCAACAGTAGAAGAGGCCATCTGCCTTGCTGCAGCAGGAGCGCAACCAGGATAGTGAAGTCGAATAGATGATTGCCTGTTGCGCACGTTTATAAGTCTTTATATTATATAGGGCTATACTTCATAGCTTGCGGCATGAAGTAGGTGTGGTATGACAAACACCTACCCACAGCCTTGGCTCACTGTCAGCGTGTCAGTGAGATTGCATAGAAGCAAGTGTTTCGTCCCACCTGGGCCCGTTAGCCTAGCCTAGTCGCACCATCCTGATCTTGATACTTTCTGTACAGCAGCGTAAATCTGAATGCTTGCAAACACAATCTTGTGTATCCAACTGAAGGCCTTGCGATCATGGCCGATGGCTATCTGCAGCTCAATGGCGGGCTGACGCTGCATCACTGGCGCGTCACTGGGCGCATCACCAGCCTGGCCTGGCATTCGTCAAATAACCAAATAGCCACCCTAGCCTGTATGTAGCAGTAACTTGAGGAATGTCGACAGATCTGGTACATCCAGGCAGCTTAAACGGCTAGGCTTGCGATAGTTCTTTTGTCGTAGGCTTGCTGCCATTAGGATTGACCTTCAAGTAGGTTCCTAAATTTACCACCGCTCACCAGACTGGGCCTTTTCCTGAGATGTCTGCCCAATGAATGCTTCACATTGGAGCGCTGAAATACATCAGTGACGGGTGGGAACCAGCCATACTCATTCTGGAATGCTTGCTGCGGAAGACTGGCGGTGCGAGTGTCCTCGATGTATGACTGTCAGCGAGGTTAGCGAAGTGCTCTGTTAGTTAACAGCCAACCAATCCGTAGCCCGGGGGCACAATAAAGAACACCAACAATACTGCAATCCAATTCTCCTGCATATAGACCCCTACGAGCCCGGGACCTTTCTACTTCTTATTGAGGGCAGACTGCTCTTGAATGCTCGAAAATAGGATAAAAAAAAGACAACAGTCTTGACCACCGTTTGACTGTGGGAACCATTGCCCTGTAGTTTAGAGTCTAACAGACATGAAGACATGAAGCGATGCGATCAGGTTGGCCATTGACTTGTTATAGGCATGGTACGATGTACAGCAGGTGTACAATAGATTGAAAGTCCGCGGAGACACTGCACTGCACTGCAGCACCCCGCTAATCCCAAAGTAGCAACGCATCAGCCTGCCGCGGGCCCGGCCAATTACCGCCATCGGATTCTCAGCGACCCCCGGTACCATCCACTGACTGCACCAGTTCAAATGCGATTAATTCCATCCCGCTCCAATTGAACCCTCCGCTCGACACAACAACCACACCCTCCATCAGTTCCACTGCATAGATCTCTACAACCCTCGGCCCATTCCGCCTCTACTCCGCCCAGTCCTCCATACCTCAAGCAATCCCAATCTCCCACCTCAACCCCCCACGGCCCTCACCTCCTCCGATCCAAGAGAACAAGAAATCAATGCTTCTCCGCACCACCCGCCTCCCAGGCCTCCTCCTCCGACCTACCAGCTGCAGCCGCCAGTTCTTCTCAACCACCGCCACCGCCACCGCCAAAATGACCTCCAACACGCCAGTCGAAGACCTCATCCGCGAAAAGGTGAGTCGCCCTTCCCCCGAGCCAACCGTGCCTGGCACCCCAAAACCTCCAACCTCAAATCAGCCCACCAGAATCCAATCCCCAATCCCCCGGAACCCAACCCAACCCACCCACACTAACGGTATATCCCGCGAACAGCTAACAACAGCCTTCACGCCCACCACCCTCTTGATCCGCAACGACTCGCACAAACACGCCCACCACGCGCCCATGCGCGACTCCACCTCCAAGGAAACCCATTTCCAGTGAGTCTCGGCCCCAGCCCAGCCCAGCCCAGGCCATCGAACATCGAACATCGAACATCGAACATCGGACATCGAACATTGCCAGATGCCAAACCCCAATCCCAAAGCCCCAACCCCGGAGAAAATAAGCTCAGACTAACTCGAAACTCTGACACCAGCGTAACAATCACCTCCTCGTCCTTCGCCTCGAAACCCCAACCCGCGCGACACCGGATGGTCTACAGCTTGTTAAAGGAGGAGATGAGTCGGGAGGGCGGGATCCATGCGCTGCAGTTGCGGACGAAGACGCCGGAGGAGGAGGGGCGGGAGCGGGAGAGGGCGGCGGCGCAGTAACTTTCCTATCAGCAGCATTGTTTATGAATATACATCATTGGGACGGTTCAATTCGGAGGTAGGTAGGGTTGGCGGGTGGGGGTTTCGCAATAACATAATTTCCAGTATGCACATACTCTCGCATGCTAGACATACATGCATGGAACATTTGATCAGTCAACGAATCTACTTACAACAGCCAAATAAACCAACAAAGGGAAGCATCATTATTATTAGGATAGTCGATTATTACGTAAAAAGGATTGGGACAGTGATGGTGGTAGTGGCGGTGGTGGTTTCTAGCGCCCAACGAACCAAAGGCACACACAACACACAACACACAACACACACAAGAACAACAACTCTATTATATACACTGCGATTAGCCATCCTGCGCGGATCCCCTAGCACCCCCCGAAAGGGGAGCGACAAGGGTCGAGTTTCATCATCAAAGGCCGCATAACGCCCCTCCCCTTCAAAGACAGATAGTTAATACCACCAGCCATACAGGCCACACAACATGGAAGCGAAGACGCAGGGCACGAGAGGGAAGAAGCGGAGGGGCCGAACGGAGCATAGGGGACCGCAGAGCGCAGTGACGGGCGTGCTTTTTCAACCAGAGAATCAGAAGCAGCGAAGAAAAAGAAGAACAGGGTGGTATTCCAACAGAAAAGAAGAAGTAAAAAAAAAGACTCAAAACTGGAAATAGCAATCGGCCCCGTGATTGTCCAGTTGTCCGCAAAAGCACAAACCTGGACTAGGACAAGGGGCGCGATCAATGGATTCGTTACAGCCTGGCGTAAAAAGTGTGACAACGGGATCGGTCATAGGGATTTAAGGATCGACGTGAATAACCGCATCGATCCGACCCAAGTCGGCTGGTTCGAACACGGCCATCGGATGTTAACTTGGAACGAAGCCGCCCTCATTTCTTGTTAGCTTCGGTGACACCAACGGCTACACCAACGACGATGGCGATGATGAGGACTGGAGACATGTCAGCTGCGTCTAGAGCAATGATTTCGGCGATGGAAAGCTACTTACTGACGACCAACAGGGCGTACCACTTCCACTTTCTTGCCCGGCGAGCGCTGGCAATGGCTTCCGTGATCTGAGTGTTGGCATTGGCGACGTTTCCAGCAACGTTCTCGGCGTCTTGGCTGATCTGCTCCACAGCAGGCTCCTGCATGTGAACCAGCTCTGCGACCTCCTGGTACAGTCGGCCCAGCTCGATCATATCCTGCTCAATCTTGCGAATAGCGGCCGAACGCTCCAAGGCCGCCTGTCTGGCGTCGTTGGCCTGTCTAGTACGGCTACCAGTAACCTAGAGCACTGATTAGCGAGTCATCCGGAGCAATCGCGGACAGGGCCCACCATACCTGGAAGCTCTGCTCCTGGCCCAGCAGCACACTGTCGACACCCTGCTCGATCTCTTCGGGAGTCGCCTCGGGGTTCGCGATCTCGTAACGTCTGCGAACCTGCTCTCTCAAGCGCTTCTGGAAGTCGGACTGGCATCGCTGGTACTGTTCGATCTCGCGACGGAGGTTGCGGCTGGTGACGTCGACCTGCGTCTGGACGCGGTTGTCTCCGGAGCCCGGGGTCTGCTTGATCTTCTTCAACAGATCACGGAGGTAGCGGAAGCCGTTGTTGATCTCGTCCTCAATGTAATCCAGAGTCTGGCGGGCGACCTGGTCCTCCTTTCCAGTGCTGGAGTCGAGCATGGCATTCTGGGCGGCGGCCAGCTGACCCTCGCGCTTGGCCTTCAGGTCCGCGATACCATCGTTGATCTCCCTGCACTTGTTCAACAGCGTGGTGGCGTCGGCCGGCTGTTCCGCGATCGCATTCATCTCTGGTGGTGCGGAGAGCTTGCGTTAGAAGACTGGTTGTTTCGCATGACGGGTCCGAGCTGCGGCGCGCTTACCGTAGGTGCCGTTACCCTGGCCCTGCTCGACGGCATTGGCCTGGTCATAGGGGTTCTGGTTGTAGCCCTGCTCGCCATAAGGGTTGTACTGGCCGTAGCCACCCTGATTACCTCCGTACTTTGTTGTTCACAGGTCAGCAATGAAGGTCGAGGTGCGCATGAGCTCAAGAGTCAGGGGAGGGGTAGCAGCGGCGGTCGCGGAAGGTCGTGACCATGCTTTAAACGGAGACATACACTCATTGTGATATTATTTCGAGGCTATGTATATTTGAGATGGAAGTTTCGTAGTGATAGCGTCACTGGGAGTTATCTTGCGGAAGAGTCAAGTCGCAGGCTCGAAGGGACCAATTCGCAAAGCGATCGGAGCTCGGGTCGTACGGGAAACGACGACGGGGGTTAATAGCGCGATCGACGGTAGATAGGATGAGGTGAGTTCGTTCCGACAGGGAGGAGGGGTGGAGACGAAGGAGGGCGTGTAGGAAGGACGAAGGTGGGGTGAAATGAGGAAGAGAGGTCGTGGATGAAATGGACGTTGGAAAAAGAATAGGCAGTAGTTTTTGAGTTGAGGTAAGAATTGAAGGGCAAAAAGAAAGAGTGACGGGTGAGACACACACTGGCGGCGGCTGCTGAGCCACGGGCGCGGAGGCGGTTTGAAGGAATGACTGATGGTTGGTTTGGTTAAGGATTGGATGGCTTGGAGGGCTCAGAGGGCTTGGATGGACGGGCTGGATGGCTCTGGCCCGCAGACGGCAATCTCGACAAAAAACAACAACACGCACAAATTCAACCAGAAAATGAAGGTAAAGAAAAGAAGATCAGTTAAAGGAATGACTGAAGAGTAAGGTGGTTAAGTTAGTTAGCAGAAAGAAAGGTTTTGCTTCAAAACAGCAGTCTCCTCTTCTTTTTCTCTAGGTCGGTCACAGACTCACAGGTAAGTCAGGGGGTGAAATCTGCGCCCACTGCAATTTTTCGCCCAATGTATAATTAGTAGGGGGGGCCTTCCAAGCTACTGCACAGACCAGTGGACGATCCTCGAGTCCCCTTTTCCCTCCCCATGAAGCAGGAGGGCAATCAAAACAATAATCTAAGTTGAGGACTGGTGAAACAAGGGAAGGACTGAGCTGCGATGGGGCTAAACGGCGGGTTCGAAGTGCAACAACCGGTGAGGTCGACAGATCGGATCTATGGACTAAGTACTGATCGGGAGGCAGGCAATCAGGTAGTCTCTATACCATAAATTTCTCTGGTCATATGCAGATAGGGATTGTAGCTTGTTGACCCGTGCAGCTCCAATCCAGATGTGTATGTGCTGCACTCAAGTTCCGGGCGCCAAAGTGGAAGATGACGGCGCTCTCTCCAAGCCCTCGCGACCAATTGAGCCCTGGAACAAATTACTACTACAAACAGCCCCAATGCTTGAGTGAAATGTTTTAGCAGTCCAGCACTGCGCGGACTCTATACCCACTACGTACCACACACAGTATACTCAAAAGCATATTCCCCGTCCAGCAGAGGAGGGGCAGGAACATTCTGCACGTCATTGACAGGACACCAACTCGATTATGCTAGAAGAGCTTGAACGGTCCTCCCCACTCTTGGCTGGCCCGAACAGTCAATTGGAAACTACCGTGTCAATTGATTAACTACTCCGTAAGTTCCTCAAAAGACCATAAGCAAAACCCTCGCAGACCGCTTCTCTGCGGACACAATTCCCCACAACCAACAGGCGTCTCGAAATATGAAGTGAACCATCCCGTCAAGTTTCACCCATCATCCCACAATGCAGTATTGTGTCGTTTGAACGAGATGCGAGTCAGGTTCGCCTCAGAGACACTTTCTTGCGTTATCTCCGCCACCATCAGTACCTTTCCACCAGGCAGGCAGCTCCACAATCCCCGGAGACCCTGTGGCCACTGGCCTGGTTTGTCCGCACGTCAGAGATGGTCACCTATAATTAGCAACCCAATTCCCAACGTGCAGCCAATCTCGTAGGTTGGAGAACGAGTTCGCTGAGTGTGGTGGAGTGGAGGGGCACTGCCCCGTTGTAGTTACTGTACACCACTGACAACTGGACACGCCACATTCCCTGGTGACTTCTAGGTGGCTCAGCAGTCGTTGTGGCTGGAAGACTTTCGCTTGTTCATACTACCATCTCGCTTGTTATATTGAGTACTGTACAATATTCTCTCTGCCAACTGTATCCACTCATAGAAAACACATCGACATCGGCAAGTATCTCGTAGATCACGATCGGCCAACTATAACTTCCGGCTCAGTAACAAGTTCCCTTTCTGCTCATCAGGTATAGCAACCGGTGGAGAACAAATCCACGGCCAGAGACATGCTTGTAGGCCCAATCACAATCTGAACCGAGATCTCTCGCTCATGACAACAAAGCCTAGGAAATCAGTACCACTAAACTACTACCAACAGCACCGTCCACACCACCATCTGATTCCAGCAACCGTGCATCAAAGGGCCTAGTACCCAGTATGCCATCCAAAGCGTAAATCACTACACGTGAAAAGGAGTGCAACACAGAACCTGCAAGCATGGCCACCTTGCATCTCGAATCTACATATCTGCATGCAAGGATCCACCAGAATGCACGACGGGAAATGAGAGCCCGAAGCTCTGGTCTCCATGCCACAGGGATTGCAGATTCGATCTGCTCAACTGCTAAACTAGGGCATCGCTATGGGATAGACCCTGCAGTGCTCGAAACTGCCTTGGACTTCCCTTCTTTCATATCGAGATTCACACACTCATTCATCTATAACCTCACGACTAACAAAATCGTGACCGCTGTCAGAAGTACCCGAGCAAGCAAGATATAAATGGCATAGGCATTCTCTCAGCGAATCCCTTCGGTCTTTGCCTGGAGACTAACTGAACGAGTAACTTACAGACGAGACTCATCGTGTCATTCTTAGAGAACCCATGTAAAGCGACTGACTGTATAGTTTTTTTTTCAGGTATCCCACGGAGTAAGTATCTCCCAAATTCCCGAACAAGCAAACCACTCTTCAAGCAGGTGGATCTGCGAACACACGTTTGAAGGGAATTTCAATATAATTTGTGATATTCAAGAAGCTACTTATACTTGACATATGACCCATGGCTACCGTCTATACAGTCACAGCCCGCGCAACCGAACACCTCATAGAGCACAACCGTAAAGCTTAAGCGCCCCACAATCATAAAAATCGGCTCTGATCATCGTATGAACCCTATATCCAACGATGGAAATCGTAGACAACCTCTCAGGGATTTGGGTTGCAGGTTGCAAGGTTGCAGGTGACTGCTTCAGATCAGCGTGCTGCAGGTGCCATCTCTCTTCAAGTACTAGCTCTAGTATCTCTGCGAGCAAGCAGCTTTCCTCTCTACAAGCCTACATCGAACAGTCAACTATCTCCAGCCGAAATCGCATGGCCAAGGACCAGGATTAGAGCGAATATGCCCCTACGATCCCGATATCCGTTGCAAAGACCTAGACATCGTAAGCACTACACACTACACACAGCCATACAATACAATAGTTCCAAGAAGTATGTATATTCTCTGCACTCAAAAACTTCGAACAGCCTCTTCCACAGCCCGACGGATCAGCGGGTTATCAAACACCTTTACCCAAGACCTCACAATTGACAGCTAGACTCCCCCAACCAAATTACACCCGTGCCTGCGAGACGAATCCATCAACACCCATTATAAAATCTGGACAGGCCAGCCAAGAACCAGCCAGAAAATCCACCAGAAGTATCACCAACCCCAGTAGGAGAGGGCGGAGGTAAGAGTCACCGTTCAGGAACGGGCCTCTCCAGACCGAGCACAGCGGCACAAGTCCGAAGCCACAGACCTACAACCCGATACAGCATCTACAGCAGTCCAGTACAAATGCACGGCATCTCTGAGGCATGGAGGGAGGCCGGATAGACCCAAGCCAGCCAAAAACAGCAAGCATGACCAGCACCGTGGACACTTGACTCATACATCACTTGCACGAGTCCCGTTCTACGAACCCACAAATCCCAGGTACGGTGCCAGAGCACCCACAACCACAACCATAACCACATCTACATCCACATGGTGTGTGTGGTGGACATCAACATCCTCGTGGTGTTAACAACGGTAATCCACAAGAGAGACGTCCCAACCAATGCAAATCAATCCGATGCAATACAATCCAAACCCAGAACCAGAACCGAACCGAACCCAGACCCAGAACCACAGCTTTCTAGAAAAAACAACCCCCCACCAGAAGAACCAGAAGCAAAAAAAGAAAGAAAGAAAAGAACAAACAATCCCATGGAACCTATCTCGAACGCCCAGCCTTCCAGTAGACTAGTACTTCCAGCACTCCCTCCCACTCCCAAAGGGAATACTAGCTTACTGTGTAGTCTAGTCTACCATCCCAGTCCGCAGAATTTCCGCCCACCAGCGGAAAGAGCAAAAAAAGAAAATATACTCCGTACTTCGTCCGTACTAGGTATACCAAAACCCCGACCCGGAGATTCCCGAAATTCTAATCCGTACCGCTACCATCCAACCCAATATCTTCCAGCATTGGGAATGAAATCCTCACCATCATCTTGGACTACAAACACCACTTAAGTATATGTATGCATCATCGATCCCAACTATCAAGAACATCCAATGATTTCAATTAAACGATACTTACCTAAAAAAATCCCTCCATGGTGGTCCGAGTCAACCTGCTGAGTACAACCTACAACAGCCAAGAGCAAGAGCAAGAGCAAGAGCCGCACCAGCCAAACAACACATAACACTGCTAGCAGTCCAGCGCTGGGGCACCCAAATTGCAACTTGCAAAAAGCAAAAAAGAAAACCATTACCTAACCATGAGCAATGCTTATTATGCAACCACAACCGCAATCCCACCGCCAAGCCCTCATCTCATGATAAGACATGGGCCCCACTGCACTTACATTTGTCCAAGTCCAACTGCACTGCATCCATCAGGTGGCGCCGTGTTGGGTCCGCGGAGCCAGTCAGGCACTGTTCCGGAAGCGAATAAGCTGGGAAAGGCCCCCGGGCCCAAAATGCCAAGAGATGCTAAGACAAACTACTGCAGGGACGGGGCCGGAATGGAAGGAACAAAAGAAAAAAAAGAGAGGGCCCCATCCGGATAGAGCGGCCTCTTCACTGAATGGGTCATGTGGTCTCACACTGACGCGGTTGAGGTTGAGGCGATACTGGCACAAAATGTTTGAGTAAGTGAAATAAGAATTCTGTATATGCTAACTAGAATCTATACTATATAGTGTAGTAGATAATAATGAAAAAAAAAACGTCAATCCGTACACCCTGCATATATACACACATGGGGTCGTCATACCGCATCTGCTCATCAAAGGGCTGGGACGCGAGCCTGCGCGAGATGATCAAGTATATCACGTTTCAAAAAAAGATCAAAACGCCATCCACGAACATCGCAAAGCTAAACACAAAAGAATTATGATACATTAGAATGGGGGGGGAGGGGATTCCGATCAGGAATCTAGTTGTGCTCATCCTTCTTCTGCTCCTGCTCGATGGGGGCAGGAACCTCGGGATCTTCCGCGTCCAGGGCGTTCATCTCGTCCTCCTGGTCGTTCAGGTGGTGGTAAACCATCCAGAAGATGATACCGGCAATGAAGGAGGCGCAGGCCAGACCGACAAACATCCACATGATGGCGGGGTCGAACGCAGCGGGCGTCAGAGCCTCGGCAATAGCGGAACCGAACGCGTTGGTGAGCAGGTACATGGACTGCACGAACGACTTCATGGACGGAGGCGCCTTGGTGTAGGCGTACTCCAGACCGGACACCGAGGCGAAAATCTCAGAAACACCGATGAAGACGTAGGCAGGCGTCTGGATCGCGATGTGGACGTGGTTGCCAGTGGCCGCACCATCAACGATGGAGGCATCACAGAGGGGCTTGCCGTAGCAAGGTCCGGCAGAGTAGATCAAGTGCTGGACAATGGCCGCGTACATCATAGCAAGGGAGGCGATGACGAATCCAACGGAGATACGGGTGATGGGGCGGAACTGGATGCGCATGCGGCGGAGCAGGGGGTAAACAAGAGTCTCCAAGACCGGGATGAAGACAATGACAGAGATGGGATCGAAGTTCTGCATCAAGTCGTTGGGGATACCGTGGCTCTCCATCTCACCGGCCTGGGTGACGAAGTTGCTGGAGAACTGGCCGTAGACAACCCAGTAGACGGGGTAGAAAGCGAACACACGGCATGCGACCAGGGCGCGCTTGAGCTCATCAATGAAGTGATCATCCCAGGGCAGATCGGGTCGGTTGCCTCCATTGGTGGCTTGCCAGCTAGGCTTGGCTGCGTCCATGTTGCGGTTGACGATCATGATTCCCAGAGCCTTGAAAGCATCCGTGATGATGGAACCCTGAGGAGGACGGACCACGTAGAACTTGCGGCCGAAGATAAGGACACCAGTACCGACGGCAAACATGCACAAGCAGAGCAGGTAGCCAGACCAGAAGCCGATGTACTTCTCCATGTAAGGCGTGGCGATCAGGGACAGGGAGCCAATGTTGATGCAGGCGTAGAAGATCATGTAAATGCGCTGGATGGTCAAGGCGGGATCGATGATGACCCGCTCACCCTTGGGGGTCGTCTTGATCGCCATCTTCTTCCGCTTGTATTGGTCGGCAATCAGAGGAGCGACGTTACTCTTGATACCGCCGGTGCCCAGACCAATGATCAAGATGGAAACAATGAAGCCACCAACACCCGCTCCATGGGAGAGAGCAGTGGGGATAGACGTGCAAACCAAGATAAGGAGACCGACCAGGTAGATGATACAGAAAACCACGATCGTCTTGTACTTGCCCAAATATTGATCGGCAACAATAGCACCAAGGATGGGAGTAACTACGGACCGAGGTCAGTAAGAGGAATGAGGACGGACCGAGCCAGAATGACTAACCATAACACCAGAACTGGAAGAAAGTGGTCAGACCAGTGGCACCACGTTGGCCCATGCCAAGGGCACCACGACCCTGACTGCCATCGAGAGGGCGTTGGATGTAGTTTTGGAACATGCCGGACATTCCGTAGTAGGTGAAACGCTCGCAAAGCTCGACAACAGCGACGAGCCAAGCAGAGACGGGCAGATGTTCGGCGACATGACGGAGGGTTCGGACCTCTTCCTGGTTGGGTTCCTCACCATCAGGAGTAGCGTCGAGAGCCTTCTCCGTCATGTAGGCCTTCTCGTTCGAGGTGACCTCGGTGATAGTGCCATGGCCCTGTTGGAACGGCCTGGAGCATGACATGTTAGTCTCGAGACGGTAGGGCAATGCTTGATGACTCAGCAGGCGCTGCGCTACATGGCAGGCGCACAGAGACACAAGACAAGAATAAGAAAGAAAAGGAGCACATACTGAGCAATATCAGCCTCGCGATCTCCGGAAGACATGGTGGCAGAGACCAGGCAAGGGAATTGGTCCGACAGGAACGGTCGCAGTAGGGCAGATTTCCACAGGAAAGAAGACAGAAAGACCAGCGTTGAGGAGGGAAACGGCCCTCACCTTATATCTCCCTCGACGGTCGACGATATAGGAACAGTAACCGAAGCGGACCCATCTTGTCCCCGAACCAATGGCCGCTAGATAGATAGAGGAGAGACCCCATCGGAGGGTGGAAAGGAAGGCAAATGGCGACGGCCGAGGCAGGGGAGATGCCGATGTAACCCCAGGCTGAAAGCAAAATGTTGATATGACAAGCAGCACCAAGCATGACCTGAGACAAGTGGGAAAGACGTTGATTGGCTTGTGGGGGGAGCAAAACCCGGCTGCAGTTTGGAACGCCAAGAAGGTCGGGCCCTGCCGGTGAGTGCGGAATGTTTTTTTCTTTCCTCCCTCGAACCAAATTTCCACTTTTCCCTCGTGGCGAAAAACAGTTCCTCTCGCAGTTTTTTTCCCACCCCTCGCTTCCAGTCCTTCCCTCGCCCACTCGAGATCATTGCCTGTTTGAGCTTTGTCTTGCATATCATCCGATTTTTCATGGTTATGCGCCACCACCCCTGGCTGGCCTTTCAAATTTGCAGAGAATCATAGTGTCCGATGAACTGACTGACGGACTGCATGGCCAGCCAGCTAGCTAGCCGGCCTAATCAGGACCCGGGAATTCGTTTCGTACAGAAAAGTGATCCAATCTTTCGTGCCGTCGGTTGGACCACCGCAAGCGGAACATGTTAGGTAACATAAACACTTTTAGCTGTAGGCTAGCAGATAAGCATGGCGTGTCTTATTCGTGACTCAAACGGAGTTGGAAGGAAACTCCGCCGCGTTTCTCAAAGGGCGCAGAGGGCGCGCGCGCTGACTGTGGCCACTGGCCACCTTTCGTGCGTTGGAAATCTTGTTCCCCCGCCTGTCCATGCGAGGATCAGCACTCAGCACGATTGCAACGTCGGGCTTCCCCGCGTGTGGTGTGCGAGCAAATGAGTCAATAGCTTGTGACCTATCATCAGTGCATCACAAATCAAATCAAGTCATTCGACAGGAGCAATGCAATCGCCCTTCCGAGATATCCCTTGTGTCTCTGTAACAAGCAATGCTTGTCTCAGCCCACAGCTGTGCTTATTTCTGCTGCCTCCTCTGCCTCTCCCTTGCCCTCAAGCCGTACAAGCCGTAATCGGAGAGTTCGCAATGCCATTGAACCCATTCCGCGTAGATTAGGCGATGTTCTCGAAGGGGCCGGCGAGTGGAACAGAGTTATCGTCTATGGGGGAGCCGACGGGGGAGCCGAGGCGTCGGCAAATCCCCAGCTTAGCTTTCCCTTAAGATATGGGGATGGAGTCGGAGAAACATTGCTCGTCTGATGAGTTCTGATCGGATCATTGCTGTACAGGGACTGGGCGTTGTTGACGACGATCGAAGGCTTCCTCATTGGGGTATGGTTCCATTCTGATCGGCTCCAGCCGCCAGGGCAAAACCTGGAGAGAGACATCTGTCCATCGTAAGACACCTTTCTTCCTTGTCCTATTCGTCTTGTCCAAAGATATATGAGGTCAGTGAGGTGTCACGGGTGTTCTGAGGTGGTGAGGGGAAGAAATGCTTTTGGGAAGCGTTCCTTGAGAGCGCGCGTGGGGTGGGGTAGTGTCTGTTGAGGTTAAGTACCTGTTCAAGGTCCGACTTCGCCCTCGGAAAGCCTTCGGCCACCAACTGGTTTGGTAGTGGTCAACACATCCCCCTGGCCATGATTCTCACCGCTCGACTCATGACTCGAAACACTCGCTGACCTGGAGACATAACAGTTCATATATCAAAAGGCGCAAAGCCTCGAAGGGCGTGGCCGCCTCGTTTTCGTCCTCTTATTCGGCCGTTGGCGCGCTAGACTCCAAGGCAGAAAGGGCTCCGATCTTCCTCCGATGCCTTTAGGGATGGCGTGCTAAGCACGACCGGGCCAATCAAGCCGACCCTGTTTATGACTCGCGACGGCGACATTCCGTGAGAGTGTTGCCAAGCGGAGAGTGACTCAATCAGCGACCAGCATCTAACGTGTATACGATAGGCGGAGGCCTCTTGGCTGGACTGGGCGGCGGCCGTGATCGGCTGGATTTCCCGTGCTGATGATCTGCACGGTTGCTATTCTGAAGATGCTCCCTCCCAACTCAAGCCATTGCGTTGCACCTTTGCGAGATAGTCGGAAGGGGACCACAGTCTGGGTTCGCAGGACAGTGTGGATCGGACTTCTTAGCCGGCTGTTCGTATGAGGGGATCAAACTCTGATAAGGCCAAAGCAGGCCAAACTCAGCCTGCCATCATAAAACTCGAGGCGTATAAACCTCAAGGCGCAATGCCAGTTTTCATTTGCAGTGAAAAAAGGCTCCTTACCAAGCATTATCTGTGACCTTCCAAGCCTTTTAAAGTAGACGATCATATCTTGTCACGGATCCACAGTTCCGCGCAGGGGTGGATAAATGGTCAACCGTCGGGCATTAATTCGCTCGGAATATGCGGAAGCACTCCTGTTTTTGACCCAGTGCGCGTTTTTATCGAAGGAAAAATTGGAAAAGCAGGCAGCAGAGCTTCAGGGTGATGAGGTGGATGGCTATTCTCGCAGTACGGTGTCGAAATCGTAACTCGGAAGGCGCCATCTCAAGCTGTGCCTGTGACTAAGGGCAGCGTGACGATGATCCTACTGGTCGACAAGATAACAGCATAGCGGGCGGGCATGCATTCTAGCATGGCTGGATTGGATTTGAAACCAATTAAGCCCGCCGCAGGTTCCAGCTGTTGCTTATGGTCCATGAAGAAAACGATCCACCGTAGTTCCTTCATATGCCATCCATCCATTGACTGTAACTCTCAATGTTTTCCCTCTTTCTGCTTAGTCTGCTCGTGGCTGTCATGCCAGAACTTGCCAAAGAGCACATATCTATTATGATATGACATCGAGACCTTCGTTTCATGGGTTCATGAAGGGCAGTATAGATCCTTTGGTAGTTTCACCTATGATGATTCTCGCCACGACGTATAGCAATACACGCCAGATATCCCTGAATCCTTCACACTGGGGACCCCTTGATTAAAATGTCAGCGGGATGCGGTTTTCTCTCGTCCAAGACAGCATACTTTTCAAGAGAAGACTCGATTTGCAGATTTACAGAAGGAAGCAGCTTAGCATACCACAGAGAATCACAACAGAAGACCACATCTACCAACACAACCACAGAGACAGAGTGTCCACCTTCATTATCCAAGCAAACACACAGGCACCATAAGCACTTGTCTCCGAACTAGCCACCCCAGAGCCACCCTTGAAAAGACATCTATACCAACCAAAGCAGATCAGTAAAAAGCCCCGCCCTATCAACACACCACAGAACAAATTGAAGAAACTTACTTACCAGCTCCAGGTTAGACCCTCCCTTTTCACAGTCCGCGAAGCACACAGATATAGCAACATTCAGAAGTCAGCATCTACTGAAGCCCACCACCTCCAAAGCAGGAGAATAACTTACCCTTTCGTATTTGGAGTCTTGTGGCCCAGGCCCAACCCAACCACCCGTCCATAGGCCCGCGAGAACTTGCAAGTGGAAGTCTGGAGGTACGGCAAGCTCAAAGTTTTTTCCAGTGAGCCAAAACCTGCTTGCGCTGTCACGAACAGATGCTCGATCCGGCACAACTTACGAATAAGAATAGACCGTTAGCGACCGGGGACAATGTTGGGGTCACGTACCTGTCTCGGGGGTGGTAGGGGGGAGAGAAGATGATAGGAAGAGAAGGGGCAGAAAGAAGGGTAGGGGAAGGTTGAAAAGGATAGAAGGAATGATGAGAAGAGAATGAGAAGAAAGAGGATGAGAAGAGGGAAGATGGCAAGAGAAAGGATGAGAAGGAGGAAATTGGAATGATGGTGGTGGAAGAGAACGAGAAAGAAAGGGAAGAAGATGAATGGGTGGGTTGGGCAGTGGAGTGAAGAAGCCTGGAGGGAAGATGTTGTGGGGGAGGACTGACGAGAAAGGTGCTTTATGAATCCGAGGGACTCGACATGATGATGAAAAGCAAAAGGCTGGTGGGTTACTGCCCGGCCTGGTAGGGACACCGACGCTCATGGCGCCTCATTCATTCACTTCAAAATTTCCTAAACAGGAAGTCACTATCAAGGTCACTCACCCCACGGGCAGGACCGCTAACCACCTCCGACTCCAGTTGTACTCGCTACCGAGCCCTACTTGACCCGTGCGGCATACAGCAAGTTGGAAGAGGAGGTCATCCACATTGGATAGCCACCGAAAATAAAAAGAACATCTGTACTGTACTGTACTCGGTGTATACACGGCCCGCATTGAGGTTTTGTCTCGATAACGGAGCTGAAGGACAGCAACGTCACCATGCAAGCAAAAATCAGACAGGTCAAGTAGATGCAGCAATTCAAATCATTTTCTTGTATTCTCCGATCCCAAGAGGGACAACACTGAAATTTAACAGAATATGGTATAAACCTCGTCAGAAATACGTCTTGAGGAAAAGAGCTGCAACCAGATCATCGCCTCACTGCGAAGTGCTGGCAAGCCAGTTTGGAATATGTCTCCTCCCACAGGCAATGCCTTGTACTGATCTTTTCCCTTTCGTTACCGCGCATCATCACGGAGCCCTTTTCCATTAATCCATAGCAAACAAGCGAAAACCACCGCGTTATGATATCATAAAGCCAAAGCGACACAAGCTAGCAGGCGCTTCAGACAACAAACTTGGCCTTGGCTCTCGTGCTGCCGCTGTGCGCGCTGTCTGTGTGTCCGGAGAACTCAACGGCATCCGCCTCCTTGAGACGGAGAACCTCCTTGAAGCGGCGGCCGATGGCCTCGAGGATGTCCTTGCCCTGGGCGGGCGTACGGGTGTTGTTCTTGTCTCCCGGAATGGCCTTGCCAACGGTCCGTGTCCACAGACCCACACGGTAGAAGCCCTTGCGTACGTTCACGACGACGCCCATAACCTCGCTGTCGCCATCGCTCTCGAGAGTCTCGCCAATAGCTGCCAGCTGAGCGTGCAGCCACAGGTCGTCAATGGGCACGGAGCGCTTGTCCTTGAAGGAATATGACCACTTTCCGCCGTGCTTGTTCTGGGGGTCCTCCCACTCCGGTCTGACGCCCTTCTTGAAAAGGTGGTAGTCTGCTTTGAGGCCCAATTCGGAGGTCGGCGTGATGTTGTTCTAACAAAATCAGTTAGCCGGAAAATCCCACTTAGGGCACAGCACGCGACATAACGTACGTAGATTCCCCAGAATTCCTCGACAGAGTTGAAAGTCACAACCTCCTTCAGAAGGTCGTTCCAGTTATCGCCCTATAACCACGGATGGGTCAGATGAATGTTGAACGCAGTCGATCGAGTCGATCGGTCCCTTACCTTGCCACTGGGGGGCTTGGTAAACCAGAGGGTCCACTCGTGCATCAAAGGATGCTTAACGTTGAAGTTTTCGGGGTCGTGGAATACTGTGACGGAGTCACCGTTCGTCTTTTCGGTCTGCTCGGCGGCAGCGACGGGGGCGGCATTCTCATCGGCCACGGGTGCGTGGCCGTTCTCAGCGACGGCGGCCATTATGGTAGAGGGAGTATGAGGTGAGGTAAAGTTCAAGGTGGATGAAGAGGGTCGAGCGGCGGGGTCGGGTTGATGAAGAGGCGAGGGGTCGTCGGAGGGGAGAGAAAAGTGCGGATGGCAAAATTTGTTGTTGTGATGAGAGGCCGTCAAAGGAAGGCGCAACTCGCGGTAAGAGGTGTATGTGAGGTAAGAAGGGAAGACGCGCAAGTGGTTGAATCAGAGTTGAGCGTCTGCTCCAGGCAGAATCACGGCGAATGTCGTGGTCGAGACTGTATGGGGAAGATGGCGGAAAATCCCAGCATCAAGTTTTGATGGTTTGGAGATGCCGCAAGGTCGGGACCAGAGTGAAACTTTTCCCTTTTGGGCAACCCTCCCTTCCAGACCTCTAATAGGCTGCCGCCGCCCAACCCAGCCCTAATGATGATATCTTGACAGAGAAGTGAGGTAGGTAGGAGTCACTCTCAGCAAACCATAAAAGAAGGTATTTTGCACTCTTTAGTTAGTCAAGTGACTCGTAGTATTATATTTTTCCTCTTTGCAAGGCTTTAAGCCCACTTCATACGCACAATGCCACAGGTTAAATAGAGGCAACGAGCCTGATGATAGACGCCTGCGAAGTTTGGATATGGATAGGCAGCGTTCTCTGCCCTCAATATGTGTAAACACTATATGAGTTTCATTTCTATTCGGTCAAGCTCGGTCTCGACACATATTTTTGAGCAGATCTAAAAACAGTACTACTAAGCCAATCCAGGAACCAGGAAAAGAATGAGTCTAGGGAACTTGGTATTAAAATGTAAAGTCATGGATTCGAAGGGTATCTATAGTTCAGTGCTAATCAAGAGAGATCTTTGTCTAATCATTTCTCGCCGCTATTGATCAAGCTCAACAAGCAGTTCCAGCCTATTGTTCTGGTCAGTTGTTGCTCGGCCAGAGATAGAACACTACTTACCCAAGCTGACCAGGTTCACGACCAGGACACGGTACTCCAAGGGCACTATGGCGAAGTTGACACCTTGGACCATGGGCCAGATCGTAAGGTTCGCTTTGTAACTGGGGACAAAGCTGCTGCGCAACTTCTCCATTGGGTCAGAGCCTTCCAAGATGGCCATGGACGACAAGAAACATGTCAGGTGAGTGGGCGTGAAGAGTAATTGATCGGCAGCGACCCGAGCGGCGGTGGTAGCGATGGGGTTCTTAAGAACAACATGGCGTTGTAGAATGCCATACCAGGCCGTGGCAGCCGGGCCGAAGATTGCTTGGGACCATTAGAAAAGGAACTTGTTAAAGACAGCAACGCCCATGGCCAATTCTTACCACCTCCATACAGAGCCATGCGTGCAGTTCGTGCCATATCGTGCTTATCGAAACCTCGGCGATCAACGAGCTGCTGAGCAAGGACATCTCCACTGCCAAACAAGACCTGGTCGTCAATGGAGTCAGCGGAGTCAAGAGGAAAGCGAGTAATAGAAATTGTTGGAAGCGGAACAAGACCAGGAAGACATACAAAGCTGGTGACACTGGCGGTCAGGATGGGCTGTTTGGCCAGCTTCGCTTGGTACCTGAAGCGGATAAGTCAGTACAAGGCTGGAGGTACATGATTGACCGAATCCTCAATGTAGGATCGACATACCACCGCAACATCTTTGTCTAAGATATCGATGGGGGTATTTTTAAGAAAATACACAGAAAGGGATTGGCTAGAAATGATGTATGCGACCAACGAACAAGATGCTGAAGAGGAAACAGAAGAAGGTGGGTTGCTGGCATAAACTCAGGGAGCGATGATGCAGGTATAAGTATCTGGTCGCAGACTGCCGCTGATAAGGGAACAGGAACAACAGACAGCTCCAACACTCTAATCCACCCCCAGGGTAAAAACCAAGCAAATGCGCGACAATCCACGCCACTCTGGGCGGCTATTGGAGAGCAGCAGCTCGCGACGGGGTAACCCACTTATCACATGATGTACCCGGACGGGGCTCCGATCGGGTTGCCCAAAACGGCTTATCACGTAGGGCATAGGGCTCCGGGCTCGCTTAGCGCACCCGCCCGCGAAATTTCCCTCCGTGCCAAAACAGTTGTGGATAGCGAGAGAAAAGTCAACTCGACGTCGACAACCCCTCCCACGACACCTCCTCTCGCCCCTCCGACCCTTTCCCAATCGCCATAACTATACAACATGGCTGACGCCGCTCCCCGTGGACGTGGAGGATTCGGATCTCGCGGTGACCGCGGTGGTGACCGTGGCCGTGGCCGTGGCCGCCGTGGACGCCGTGGTGGCGCGAAGGAGCAGGAGAAGGAATGGCAGCCCGTCACCAAGCTCGGCCGTCTCGTCAAGGCTGGCAAGATCACCAGCATGGAGCAGATCTACCTGCACTCCCTGCCCGTCAAGGAGTACCAGATTGTGGACTTCTTCCTCCCCAAGCTCAAGGATGAGGTCATGAAGGTACGAAGCGAACGTTCAACCAAAATCACCCGGAATATCGACGTGGAAAATTTTCGAATCGGCGCATGTGCTAGGAAGTGGACGCGCAATTGGATTGGATGCGGGATTGGGAATTGGACAATGTCGAACGGGAATTGCTGCGGAATGGTCAGGTGCTGACGGTCATTCTTTCTTTCTCTTCGCAGATCAAACCCGTCCAGAAGCAGACCCGTGCCGGTCAGCGTACCCGCTTCAAGGCTGTCGTTGTCATCGGTGACTCCGAGGGCCACATCGGTCTCGGTATCAAGACCTCCAAGGAAGTCGCTACCGCCATCCGTGCCGCCATCACCATCGCCAAGCTGAGCGTTCTCCCCGTCCGTCGCGGTTACTGGGGTACCAACCTCGGTGAGCCTCACTCTCTGCCCGTTAAGCAGAGCGCCAAGTGTGGTTCCGTCTCCGTCAGAGTATGTCGCAATCGCGCCAGTCCGACTCGAAGCAACCCGTTGACTAACATGAATCCAGCTTATCCCCGCTCCCCGCGGTACCGGTCTCGTTGCCTCCCCCGCCGTCAAGCGTCTCCTCCAGCTTGCTGGTGTCCAGGACGCCTACACCTGCTCTTCCGGCTCCACCAAGACCCTCGAGAACACCCTCAAGGCTACTTTCCTTGCCGTCGTCAACACCTACGGCTTCCTCACCCCCAACCTCTGGAAGGAGACTAAGCTCATCCGCAGCCCTCTTGAGGAGTTCGGTGATGTCCTGCGCCAGGGCAAGAAGTACTAGGATAGTGCTTTGATGGGATAAACTTGCATGATTGTTTTTTGAATCGAACTATTTTTTCTACGGACTTCAAAAAGTTGCTCTTTGGCTGTAGGATCGGAATTCTGCACAGATTACGACTTTCGCGCCTACCTACGCTAATTAACGGTGTCAACGGATGTAATGATTATAAGGAGGAGCTTCGAGAACTTAGCGCAAGGTCAATTTAACCTCCATTTTCGCCAGTGACTACCGGGCGGTTGATATGGTACGGTGCGCCCACTATCTACTCTGTGTACTTCTACGGTCTCGATCTGGAAAGCAAGCATTCAAGTGCGGAGTAGATAAAAATAGAGTAAAAGAACGCATTACGAAGACTAGATTTGGCCTGACTGTCCCTTACTGCCCCTCGGACTCGGGATTTGCTATATGTGACGTCGCTAGGGGTCGGGCCAGCGCCGTCTGGTGTTAATGCCCATGTGCTGCAGAGGCCCATTCATTCAATCGGCCCAGAACTAGGGCGAATAAGGTTGTCATCTAAGCCTGATCCACATGAGAGGTTCAGACGCATTGCTCATACCCGGTTTTCCCTGCGCGCTCGCTTCGGAGCACCTAGCACTATCGGTGATACTACATATGTTCTTGAAGTTCCGTATCCAGCTTCTTTCTCAACAACTTAATGACTAGGTAACTATTTTTCTACCAATTCCAGCCAAAGGGCGTTGGTCCTCACACCAGAAGAGTAGAACGCCATCGATCCGCGTGTTATACATCTACATACTAATCAGAACACCATCAGGCAGTAGATCTAATTGCCAGACTTCAAGCCATAACGAGGACTGTCGTTAAGCCCTTCCGTATGCCTACTACTGGGGAGTGACTTGGCCAACCCATAGCCTACTGTTCTCTGCATGTTGAGTGGAAATTCAGCTCGTGGGAAAACATACATCATGAGAGCACTTGTCAAACCCTCACCAGAGCTCCTCTGCTCCTCGATCTGGCTCTCGTCTATCTCTCTTACGAGATTGGCTTCAGGTAGGACTTTGCAAGTACAACCTATATCTCCTATCAACATGAGAACAAAGCATTCAGTTCGTCAATCTCTCCCTGCCGGCTGAACTCTCCTCGCCGCTGTTGGTACACGTGCATCCCAGACTGCTTATCCGCTTCGTGGGTCCCCGCACTTGGAAGTGGTGTCAACTATACAGTCCTCCTTCACTTGACAAAGCCGAGAAAAGGAGATGACGACCTCAAATGCCCGGGTATTGCCTGAAAACTTTGTCTGGTTGACTATTAGCCGTGAGGTTATCATAGATGGATGCTGCAAAACCGCCGGAGATATATTTCTGGAGGGCGGGGATGCACGGTCACATGATCCTCTAAGTTTTGAGTCTCCGGCACGGTCGCTCACTGTAAGACGACCCACAACTTTATTCCAGCTTCTGAGTTACCTCTGACTCCTGAACAACCCAAGCCTATGCGATTAGAGTCCGCCACGAGGTTGTAGTATGTCTGCTCTTATGCATGTCGAGGAGGATGGCATCTCATTGAAGTTATTGTCCGCTAACTTATGCCTAGGCTCGAGCACTGGCGACATACTGTGGAGCCGGGCATCGCCAGATCCCCACATATTCTGGTCATAGCGTTAAGTTGCCTGCTCTCCAACCTCATTTGACCAGTCGTTCTGGCGAGCTAATCGTGAACCCCGGTTGAAGAAGCTTACATGTAATCTAGTTAAAGTAGGTAGGTAGTGTTAGCAAGGGTGGCTGGTGCAGAGCCTGATACCTAATACCTGGAATATCATAGGCCACCTCAGTATGACAACAATGACTTTCTCAGTGCCAATGTAACGGAATTCCATCCACTGTAGCGAGCGGAACAGGCTTCATGTCTAAAGCACATGTCAACCTGATCTGGCACCTGGGGAAATAATGATCCGCGTGCACTGGGTTGTGAGCGGAATGTGCCTGCTCGTGGGGTAAATTCCCCCTTAGGAACTTCTCAGAACAATAGCCATTGTCACCGCCTCTCTTCCATCCGCAAACCTCTGTCACCGGACGGCATCAACAACTCGCAGCAGAGGAAGGTCAACAAGGGCTACGATGATCTGGTCCACGGTCATCCTCGGTCTCCTCGGCCTGTACCTCGCTGACCGTCTACGGGATCTCTTCAAGCATGTCCGCGTCGCGCAGCGCTCGGGGCTTCCCTATGTCGTGTCTGTCTTCTCTCCAGGCATCGTCTCCATGGCTTTCTTCGATACGCCCTGGTTCTCCTATCTGGTCGAAAACTGGTTTCCCGCCCGACTGGCAGATATTGTGTACGATACCCTGATCAATTATCGCTGGAGGGCCAGGGATCGACAAGCAAGACGATATGGCGATGTGTACTTGCTTGTCTTCCCGGGAGGCATCTTCTGCAGCGTCTCCGATGCGGCGGTGGTTTCCCAGATCGTCAACACTCGGCAGAGCTTTACAAAACCAGTCCATCAGTACGGTGAGTCTTTTCCCTCTCACTCAATTGTGGGTATGTGCTCACGAGGCTGATGCTCCTCCAGCGGTGCTGGACATGTACGGACCAAACGTCGTCACGGTGAGTGCGACACCACCCTTTGTAGTCACACATCATGCCCATGCTTATTTCAAACAGTGTGAGGATGCAGAATGGACACACCATCGTCGATACACGGCAACAACCTTCAACGAAAAGAACAATGCTCTTGTGTGGGAGCAAGCTATAAAGCAGAGCCAACAGCTAATCGAGTACTGGCACGAATCAAGACCGAACGAGACCAGTGACAGCTTCGTGGCGACCGACACGAGACAGGACACCCTCAAGCTCAGTCTCAACGTCCTGACTGGTGCCGGCTTCGGTGTAGATCTGCCGTTCAAGCCCATGCCCCAGCATCTGCTCAAGGGCCCGGATGACATCTTCAAGGACAGCACCCCGCCCCCGACTGGGTTCGATTTTACATTCCGGTCAGTAATGTCCTACATGAACGAGCATATCAGCACAGTTGCGATAGCCAACAACTTGTTACCCAAGTGGATCCCCAGAGCGCTGGTCCCCTTCTTCAGGCGAGACTTTGCGGCGCATCGGGACCTAGAGGTGTATCTGCAGAGGTTGGTTGACAAGACCGAGCGAGAATTGGAAGACACAGACACAGCACACCACCTGGTGCAAGGAATGCTTAATCCGCGAAAGTCTCAGGACCAACAGACTTTGACAGACCGGGAGGTTATCAGCAACCTGCATATTATCACCATTGCGGGACACGAGACCACGGCAACCACGCTACGATTCGCGTTCCTGCTCTTGGCTCTGCATCCGGACGTCCAGGAATGGATGTATGAAGGTCTGGCGGCCTCAACCAAGGGGGAGTCTTCTGACGCTGGGACCTGGGACTACGGCACTATGTTCCCTAAACTGGTTACCCCTCTATGTGTCATGGTGCGTACGGCCTCAAGCCTGTTTCTTTGCAGCGGATAGCATACTGACCTGCACCTAGCTGGAGACCATGCGTCTGTACCCGCCCGTCGTAACTGTCCCGAAGTGGACGGGCGACTCAGCAAGGAAGATCCGTTATCGTGAGGAGGATTACGTCCTGGAGCCTCGCCTGAACATAAACCTGAACGTAAGCAGTCTTCACTACTCGGAAAAGTACTGGGGAAGCGACGTCAGACTGTTCCGCCCACAGCGCTGGGACGTGCGGAATGAGGATAGCTTTCTAGCCAAGAACGCGGGCCTACCCGGTGTTTCTGCACCAGGGCTGGAGTATCCTACCATTCATAAGCCGGTCCGAGGTGCTTACATCCCGTTCAGCGATGGCATGCGCGCGTGCCTAGGGAAGAAGTTTGCGCAGGTCGAGTTTGTGGTTGCATTGGCCGTAATCTTTTCAGACTATCGAGTTGAGCTGGCAGACGATAGCAAGGAAGGAGTTCAGGAGGCCGAGAGGTCATTACGAGAGTGCACTTCAATCCTGACGTTGGCTTTGAGGAGAAACATACCGCTACGCTTCCGTAAGCGTTAGTGGTGGTGCAACGGGATGCTGTAATGACTAGTCCTTCTGTTTCAGAACCATCTTATCGAGAGAAACGGCGCATGACAAAGAGACGGCCGCAGGCAATGGAATTCTCTCTTGTCAGCAACGTCAAGGATAATCATTTGTACGCAGTGGATCCTTTCTTCCCGTTCCTGTTCTTTGTATTCCGTCCAAAATGGCATTGGCGAGCATGTGTTCTTTCACTAAGCAAGCTACCACCAAAGAAAAGAAACATACTATGAGAAGGGGAGGGGATGAAGCCCCACAGCTCCACTCGACCAGAGACAAACAAAACACCCTCGACATGGGCTCCCAGTGTTCCAGGCTGTGTGTTAGTCGTCCATTGCATCGTTCCCAGGTGCCATATTTCACTGCGCTTTTCCCCATCTTTCACCCAGCTAGCTTGCGCTGCCTCTCACAAATCGCCCACTCTCTCCAAGCCTTACCCTTTGAAAACGTGCAATTCCCAAGCAATAGCTCACCTCATTCAATTCTGCCCCGGCCAAAGCGATGATAGAACACGCAGCACACTGGCAGCTTGCACTGCTAGGCGCGGAATTCTGGAACGACGTGGAGACGAGAAATCAGCCTGTCCACGACCTCATTGATACGGGTCAGTAACGCGGGTCCCTTTGCTAAGAACTGACCTATGATCTATGAAATTCTCGTTTCACACAGCTACTAACACGCTCTGAGGATACTCTCTCTCTCCAGTACATGACCAAACTCTCCATACCCGTTTCCCGTTCAACCTTGTTAGTGAGGAAAACAGCCGTGCCAGGTCACTTACTGCCGGAGCTGGAGCTGGAAGTGCTGGTGACAGAGCTCCTTCCCCGGACGTCGTTGAAAGCAACAACACTTCTTCCGATTCTTCAGACAAGCCGCGGCGCCGTCGCCGCTACAGCATGAGCGACGTATTTACCAGAAACACCGCATCCAACACCCCAGAATTGACCCTGACCATGGCCGGATCGCGCAAGGTCGAGCGTGCGAAGCGTTCGCGCTCCGAGAGCCGGACTTGCTCCCAGGAGCAGCAGACACCGCAGCAGCAGCAGCAGCAGCAGCCTCAGCCATTCAGCCGGTCCTCCAGCACAGCGTCCAGCAGGAACAACCAAAGCACCGCCTCGCTCCTCCGCTCCGCGCTCCAGCGCTTGAGCCGTAAGAGAATGGGGTCCGGCGAGGAGCAGATGCCGACGCCTGTGAACTCAAAGACTGCCGCGGCCGGAGAGGTCGGACATCGCTCCCATCCCCAACCTCAACAGCAAGCGCAGCAAGTACAGCAAGCCCAAGCCCAAGCACAAAGCCTACCCATCGTCTTCTTCACAGCCGAGCAAGCCACCCCGACCAACCCGCTCCTAGAATTCCGCGGCGGCGCGACCTGGGCTCGATTCCCGCGGAACCGACGTTCATTGGGGATCGATGTCTACTTGCCTATCGACAAATCCCAATCTGCTACCGCCACCACCGCCGCAGCGGATTCCACAGCGCAGACCGAAGAACAGACAAACGGAGAAGAGGAAGAGGAAGACGAAGACGAAGACGAAGAAGAGGTAGAAGAGCGCGTTGAGGTCCTGCCCGTGGAGCAACTGTTCCCGCTCATCCATTTCCGGCACCTCCGCTCCCTCAAGATCACCGGCATGGTGCAGTCGTACCAGAGGTACATCTGGCAAGCGGCGTGGCTGAACACGGGCCTCGAAGAGCTGGAGCTCAGCATGGTCTGCCCCCCGCGCCTTCGCCAGTCCTTCGCTGGGAACTGGCCGTACATCAAGGGCGGATGGACGATGAATCCCACCCACTACAGTGCCCCTGTCTACTAGTACGACCCCCATTCCCAGTCCCCAAGTCTCCATCCCCCCCTAACCCCTATCACCTAAACCAAACCAACTAACTGAATAATCCCCCAGCGGCACCGGCGCCGGCGCCCTCCCGCGCACCATCGGCGAAGGCGAATACCTGGACAAGATCGCCCTCGAGAAGGCCAAAATCTGCGCCATGGTGCAAGGCCCCACGCGCAACCGGCTGTCGATCCGCACCCTGACGCTGACGGGCTTCGTGATCGACGCCGACCCCTTCCTGCTCTGGTTCGACGCCACGCGGCTCAAGTGCCTGCATTTCAAGGACTACTGCGTCGACGCCGGCTTCTATCTGTGTGAGGCTATGCACTGCGTCTCCGTGCTGTATCCCCGGCTGTTACTGGTTGATGAGGAAGGCCGGGAGGCCGTCGTCGCGCGCCGGGTGAATCTGCGGAAGGAGTTGAAGGTCGTGCAGCTACGGGGTGGACGGAAGGTTGGGGAGATGGCGTACACTGGGCCGGGGTGTTTGGATAGGGAGATTCCGGAGGCGGTGGGGGTGGGGGTGGGGGTGGGTGTGGGTGGTGCTGTGCAGGAAGAGGAAGAGGAAGAGGGGGCGGAGGGTGCTGATGCTGCTGCTCCTGCTCCTGCTCCTGATCCTGCTTCTGCTACCGAGTAAGCGTAAAGGAACAGAAGGACTAACTTAGGCCTAGGACTTTGTGTGTTTCAGGCAACTCACTACCTTGATTTCTTACTGAGCGAGCGCGGCGTCCTTCCTTGGGGAGTATGTTCTTCTGATTAGCTGCGTTTCTGCTCACCATTCTCTCATCTTCAGATGATCTGACTGTTTTCTTTTCTTTTCCTTTTCTCTTCATGAATTGGTTTGGCGCAACGGAGTTCGGAAACTGGCATGGCAATGAATGCAAGAGCGAGAGAGAGAGATTGGTAATGTCTAATGGTGCGAATACTGGGTTTAACTGGAACTATGGGACCTGGTAATGTGTAATCTTAATGCGATAAGTTATTTGAAATGAAGAAAAAAAATATGATCAATGAATGTCAACTCTTTACACTTCAAATCCCAAGTTGGTGATACTGTAACGGCAAGAATCCGAGGTCGAGTATGATACTTGGAAGAACGAGACATTCATATCAACCTGGCTGGTACAGCATGAAACTTGGTTACAATCAATCGCTTGGTTGGATTATTTCCACGGCTCCACCCCCAATTTCGAACGACAATGATCATCATAAAACATACAGAATGTTCGTTCCTTCGCTGTCCGACGCCCCCATGGTAGCAGCATATTATCCCGGTTCATACTTCGATCCTCCGTCCACAACAGTAGAACCATCAGTTCGGAAACATAAAACGATACGTAAAGTCGTGATGCCAGGCAAACACGCCCAGCGTCCAGTCATATCACACCCCTCCTGTTCACACTGCCTCCCAGACCGAAAATTCCAGCGGAACTTTCCATCAACACCTGTCACTCTCCTTGAGATACATACAAGTCCGTCGCAATTTAAGCTCCGTTATCCTCACCGATACGGATGGCGCCCTCATTGCCGATGCCGTTGGACCAGAAGCCGTCCACGTTAAGGGTGCTGCCGTTCTAATTAGCTATTGAACACACCGGGAAAAATAGCAAGCACCTACATTCCCGGAGCACTGTCGTGCGCAATGATCAGCCAGTATCCGATCAATCCCTGGGAGAAGATATCGTAGATGGCAAACAGGATAGTCTCCACGTCGACGTTGATCTTCAGAGCCAAAGCGCCCGCGGCGATAGTGCTGTATGCATTCTCTATTAGCACATACACTGATAAAAGGTGAACTCTCGTAAGACCTACACAGGGAACAAAACCTTCACCAGCAGAGTCACGCCGGAGATGGTTCCGAAGAACTTGCGGGTCTGGTTATCCTTGTTGCTGGCGGCGCGGGCCCCGTTCACGCTGATGTGGTACACGGTCGTCAGGTATCCGATGGCACTGATGGTGAACCAGACCCAGCGGCGCGAGGTGTGGCCGGCGAAGGTGCCCAGCAGACCGGAGCCCAGCATGACGAAGTCGGCGGCGATGGCCACCAGCAGGTGAGCCCCGGGAAGACCGGACAGCAGACTCAAGCTGATCAGGCTGAGCGGCTCGGTCAGGAACCACAGCACGTAGCGCAGCCACAGCACCTGGCGGAAGTAGTCCTGGTGCGTGTTGGGCACATGCTTGTTGTGCAGCTTGACGGTGTCGACTTTCCAGGTGATGCCGCCGCCGGTGGCGAGGGCGAGGTAGATGATGAAGGAGATGGTGGCGGAGAGGGAGACGAGGGTGTGGAAGACGCGCTTGCTCTGATTTTTTTTGGTTGAGTGTTAGTGAGTGACTCAAATGACTTTAGGGATGTCGAGATGGCTTGCGGATACTTGGGGTGGAGGTTCTTAACGAACTTACCAGTGGTACACGAGCTCCCAGAACGTAGAACACCAGGGAAGACAGGGCCATGAGCACGGTGACGACCCTAGTAAGAGCGTATCGTTAGAAGCTGAGCTTAAAGCTTCTATAGGGAAAGACTAACCATAATGTGCGTTTGCCAGTATCGTGGATCTCCTGGAAAATGGGCTCATTGCCTGGGACGACGGTGGGGATGGGCGCCACAGTCGAGGTCGGAGTCACCCCCGGAAAAGTCTCCTTGAGGAAGGTCTCAATCATCGTGAAGACGTTTGGCAGCTGGCAGTCTGATGACGATGATGATGATGTTGTTGGTGATGATGATGGAGGATGGATGGATGGAAAGCGATAAGTGACGGTTATCGATAAGAGGATGCGGGGGATAAAAAGACAGTGAGAGGAAGGCGGAGGTTATATACGAGGAAGCAGCAGTCCAGCACCAGCCCTTTTTTTTCATCCTTCCTGAAACCATTGCAAGCAGCAGTCGTCATGCTGACCTCGCTGCTGTCGTCATGGAAGTCGAGGTTGGAAGAAGGAATCCAATCAGAGACCATCGAGACCATCAACAGGGAGGGGGAAAGGTGTCACAGAGAACCTTGGAAGTCATCTTTTAATCAGCAGCGAGCTCCGACTCTCCGACTGGTGGCTCCAGGGTTGTTGCCTGATTCACGTTACCAGCCATTCATTGACTGTCAGGATTCAAGGGACTCTTTTGAGGTCCATGACGTTATCCCCATCACCACCAATAAGCGCTGCAGAACACCAGCTACGCGCAACCAGGATTCCCCGCAAGACCGATCTAGAATGGTCGCTGTGACTTACATAAGGTATGGTTAACTTAGCTAAGATACTCCGTACTATGCGTACGGTTTTGAGTGAGATGCTAAAATTGAAGTACACAGTAAACTAATAATACAGTACAGGAATCCACCGCAGGAATCCGGGAATTGATCAAGGAACTGACCACTCACACCTCTGCAGTCGCAGCTGCAGCTGCAGCGTCCAGTTCTTGCACGACTCCCTCGCAGCGATCGCACACCGTCTCTTCCGCCGCTTCACTCTCCGCAACCACATAGCGCCAGCACCGAGGACATTTACCCGCCTGCGGACTGTACACATACACCGTGCCCTTGGCTCCGCTGGGGAGCTCATATTCCTCACTGTACTGCCATTCCGCCTGCGCTATCGACTCGGGGATCGGCTCGCCATGAGCACCGAGGCTGACGGACGACACCACAAAGAAATCGGGTAACTCGGTCAGATCCCGGTGGAACACCGACGCGGGCGTCGAGTCTTCGGGAAGGACGAGGTGCACAAACGACTGAAGAGAGGAGCCCAGCTGCTTCTGGCCGCGGGCCTTCTCTTGGACCGCCTTGACCACGGAGTTGACGGCGGCCAGCTCCTGGTAGTCGGATTCGAGACCCTCGTTCTGCCATTCCGCAGCAGGGGCTGAGACAACGCGCTGCAGAGGATGCTGGCTCTGCGTCTTGATCGCCTCGGGGGTGTGCTCCCACGTCTCCTCCACAAGCATGGGGGTGATGGGCGCCAGGACTTCCTGGAGATTTTGGTAGATGTGGAACAGCGTCGTCTGCGCCGCACGCCGGCTCGCGCTGTTCTCGCCGTAGGTGTAGAGCCGATCCTTGATAGCCTCCATGTAGAAGGCCGAGAATTCCTGATTGGCCCAGCGGTTGATCGCATTCACGGCCTTGTAGAATTCAAAGTTCTGGCCGACCTTCCGGCAGATCAAGACCATCTCAGACAGCTGCTTCAGTGCGATGCGGTCCACTTGTTGCAGCTCATCGTACGGGACACGGTGCTCGGGGCGGAAATCCGACAACGCACCTAGCAGGAGCTTGAACGTCACGCGGTATTTGTGCAGGCTGGTGTGCACCGTCTGGAGCACCTGCTTTCCGATCACTACGTCGCGAGTGTAGTCACTGCTGGCGGCCCACATGCGGAGAGCATCCGGCCCAAGGGCGTCGTACACCGGAGCCTGGTTTTCGGCCTGCTTCTTCCCCTTGCCTTTTCTCGGCTTCAAGGGTGGCAAAAGCGATCCGTCCATGATCGCATGCGGCAGCATCACGTTGCCAATGGACTTGCTCATCTTGCGGCCTTCTTCATCCAAAGTGAACCCGTGGGTGATGAGGTGCTTGAAAGGCGCACGCGGGGAAGCGGTTTGTCCCGAGGCAAGCTGATGAGCGACGAAGGTGAGAAGCCCGGACTGGAACCAGCCCCGGTGCTGGTCGCTCCCTTCAAAGTACACGTCTGCCGGGCGACCATCCTCACGGTAAGGGACATCCACTTCAGACCAGCTGGTGCCACTGTCAAACCACACATCCATCGTGTCGGTTCCTCGTCGATAACCCGGACCAGACGCGTCCTGAAGCGATAGTGGAATCCACGCGTCATCGTTGGCTTCATCCGTCCACCATGCGTCAATGCCACGCTCCTCGATCACCTTCATGATATGAGTCACGCTATCCTTCGTGAGCACGGCCTTGCCAGTGCCCCGGTGATAGAGAGCAGGAATGGGAACGCCCCAGGCACGTTGACGAGAGATGCACCATTCGCTGCGGTTCTTGACGAAGTTCTCCAAGCGTTGCCGACCGGAACTCGGAACGAAGTTGACGTCGTCCAGCGCTTCCAAAGCGTGGCCGCGAATGTCGGCCACGTCGGCAAACCACTGTTCTGTAGCCCGGATGATGATCGGGCGCTTCGACCTCCAGTCGTACGGATATTTGTGCTCGTAGTTATGCTGAGTGAGAAGTTGACCTTGAGATTCGACGTATTCCAGCACTGCCGCGTTACCCTCGTCGAGGACGCTTTTTCCGCGCAGCCGCTCGGGATCCACGGGCATCGCCTTGTCGGTGAATCTGCCGTGATCGTCCACGGGCGCGAAAGCGGGGATCCCACGAGAGAGACAGGCTTCGTAGTCGTCCATACCGTGACCCGGAGCGCAGTGAACCAGTCCCGACCCAGAGTCGGCCGTCACAAACTCCGCCGCGATGATCGGCTGCGCCTCCGCAGCCGCTCCCTTGAACAGAGGTCGATACGTAGTCTGATCCGCCAGCTGAGAACCGAGAATCGCCGGCACGATGACCGACAGATCCTCCTTCAGCGCGCTTTCCAAGTATTCCAAGCGCGATTGCGCGATGAGCAGGTGGCCGTGCGTCTCCGACTCGACGATCGTGTACTCGAGGGCCTCGTGGACCGCGATCGCGGCGTTCGCCGGGAGCGTCCACGGCGTCGTCGTCCAGATCACCGCGCTGACCTCCTTACCCTGGAGCAACGGATCCTGGGCGAGATGCGCCGGGATCCGCGCGAGCGGGAACTTGACCATCGCCGCGGTCGACACATGGTCATCCTTGTATTCCAATTCCGCTTCGGCCAGCGCCGTGCCCGTCGACGGGGACCAGTAGACCGGCTTGAAACGCCGGTAGATGAGCCCCTTCTCGACCATCGCCCGAAAGATGCCCAGCTGCCGCTTCTCGAAGGCCCGGTCCATCGTCTTCCAGTGGTTGGCCCAGTCGGCCATGACCGCGAAGCTCCGGAAGCCCTTCATCTGGGCCTTGACCGTCTTGTCCGCCAGCTTGCGGGCGGCCTTGCGGATCACCGCCGCCGCGCTGACGCCGTCCGCAGTTTGGAGCTCCTTCTGCGCCTCGAGGGCCTTGAGCTCGATGGGCAGCCCGTGGCAGTCCCAGCCCGGCACAAAGCGCACCCGCCGCCCCAGCCCCAGTTGTGTGCGGCAGATGATATCCTTGGTGATCTTGTTCAGCGCGTGGCCGACGTGCAGTTCGCCGTTCGCGTAGGGAGGTCCATCGTGGAGCACAAACGGCCGGTCGGCCGGGCGTTCACGTTCTTGCCAGGCGTAGAGGTCGTCGGTGCATCGGCGCAGGTATTTGGCCTGGTCGGCCGGTGTCACGCGCGCGGGGAACGTCGACTTGGGGAGCTTGAGCGTCGACGACCAGGACCGAGCGAGCGTCCGTGGCAATTCCGCCATACTATTGTCGGCTCATATCCCGCCTTTTTTTGGGCCAGGTTGGGGGTTGCGAGAAAAGGCTGTTGGAGGGTTTCGAGTTCGATGGGACTGCGGACTTGGGAAAGCTCCGGTGCGGGTAATCTACAAATTACACATACGGAAACTTTGGTGGGTTCAACCAATCAAAGCATTTATGTTAAGGTCAAAAGTGTATTGTCAAGCCTACATAAATACCGAGTAATACCCGCCCGCTGCTTCCAGCATGTTGCTAGTACCTTAGTCATGTGAAAATGGAATGAAAAACATGTAGTACAAGGCTCCTTTGAAACGCCAACGCCTTCATGACTCGGTCAGTACAATGTCAGGCAGCTCACCGCCCCGTTCTTCATCACCTCAAACAACAGGCCCGGAAAACCAAACAGCTCTGTGTTTCCTAGACCTCCATCATTGGCCTCTTGCCCGGTCCTCTGCCCCTTCCCGGTGCTTTCTTCCCACCCGCCTAGGAACTCGACACTGCTTTCCGGACTGTCGCCCCAGCCCCGGTTCAAGATCATGGGTCTTTGCAGGGCACGCTCCTCCGCGGCATTTGCATAGGCTCCCTTCCAGACCGAACGCAGTTGCTCCGAGATCTCTTCGTAGCGAGTCTCAGATGTGAGGGCGTCGTCGGCTGGGTTGTGGATGATCTTCCAGCGACTGCGACGGTGTCGATTGAATGGATACGAGCCTGGCACGTTTCCATGCAAGATGATCTTGGTCACCACCAGCTGGGAAGACGGCGAAGGCGGGGTTGGATCCGGGAGGTCGGATCCAGGGAAGGCCGGGCCCGATGCGGTAGGGTACGAAATGAAGGCATCAAAGCCATGATGGAAGTAATTGAAGAAGCACTCGCTCGGAAGAGAGGATGGGTCCAGCGTGGGAGCCTGGGAGGCTTCGTCATCCGAGTCGTCGGTCACGCTATTATTAGACGAATGATCCAGGTCGGTGACATCGATCCCGCGCCCCGAGGATGGGCCCATGTGCAGAGCGTCCTCTCCAGCGCTACGGCCTGCGGCGCGATGGATGGCTATTCTGCGATCGTTCTTACGGTATATTGCATCCGGCGGTCCGAACTCGGCAATCAAGTCCTGCGAAGTGGTTTCCGACAATGTTATTTGGGCCGGCGGGGATGATCGTCGGATCGCTTCGATCTTGCCGGCCCCAAAAATCAGGAACTCCTCGATCTCATCCGGGACGAACTCCCTGCTTTTACCGACCAGCGCTGGGGAACGCGGGTACTGGGGCTGCTGGGTAAACAATTTGTTTCGAGCCTCCGGCCATGACGAGCCTTGGAAAATGGACATCGAGGTTGCGGGTAATGCAGCCGATGAAGAAAGCAATGCTACAAAGTCACACTGGTCCGACCATGCTGAGTTCTGGAGCGGAAAGGAGAATGCGACGCCGGGATAGGATAAGACGTAGGTACCATACGGCGATTGAGGGCTGTCGGGAGGTATGTATTCTCCAGGGTAAGAGGGACCAAACAAACGATTGTAGATGTGGCGAAAGTTGGGCCCTTGCTGCGTGACGGAGGGCTCTTGCGGTTTGATGCCTTTCAGCACCTCCTGGTTCTTGTAGACGAGGGTGATCTTCGAGAAGTCAAGCACTTCGATCAACCGCAACCTCTGATCTGGCCCATCGAACCGCAGGCGTAGACCGCTGGATGGAAGTTGTAGCGTGACGGGTTTCCGGAGAGGTTCCGACGACGAATATGCGATATCTATTGCGGGGTACGTCTGGGGATGGGACTTGACGCGGCTGAGCACATTGTGGAGGGAGGCTCCCAGAGCTATACAGACGCAGGTTAGTGTTGTTTGAAACAAAGATAAGGGTTTGACATGCTTATGAAACCCAGCCCTTTTCCAGGGTAGATCTGAGCTTGTGGTGAAGGCCTGGAAGAAGAGGATGAAGTCATGATGGCATATGGACCAACTGCATGCTGAGGCGGAGACGGTGAGTGAGGGGCGGATCGGATTAGTATATGTATCTTTGAAGGTGTTAGAAGGTGCGAGCTGCACCGGAGCACAACCACTGAAATTTCAAGGTGAAGCTAAACAGATTTCGTGTCAGAATAAGCCGAGTATTAATGTAGAAACAGAATTATTCCACGAGAGGAACAATAATAAGGACTCAGCTGTCAGGAGGAGCATGGAGCGGGCGATGAGCGAATGCTATCATGTGAGATGGGGGCATGACGAGCAATCCCGCCGGCACGTGGGCGGTGAACCCGCTTTGTTTACATTTTCCGCTTTGAGACGGGAAATCAATAACAGCGGATCACTAACCATAACCAACCGACTGACAGCACCTCCTGAACCAGATTCGCCGACCACCGCCTATGTTGGTGCGCATTCTTCCAAGCGATTCTGCAGAGTTAGCTTGAGGCGCGACTACTTTCATAGATCACGGCTGTATCACCTTGGATAATATCATCTAAATCATCATGGCTGGCCCCCCACGGCCTGCCTCAGGGCTGCCGACCAGACGAACAGCGACAGCGACGCGCCCGACCACAAGAAGACTCGGCTCTACGATGTCAACCACGGACAGAGCGGCATCTCCAGCGATCGCATCCAAGGCGCCCTCATCTAGTGCATCGCGTGCGACGAAATCAGCAGTCGAACCTGCTAGCATTACCGCGAAACGCAAAGAACGAGACTTCGAGCGCGAGATCAACGAAGATACGAGTATTCATGTCGTCGTCCGGTGCAGAGGCCGGAATGACCGAGAACTCAAGGAAAACAGTGGAGTTGTAGTGTCCACGGAAGGCGCCAAAGGACAAACCGTGCAACTGTCGATGGGCCCAAATGCATTGGCCAACAAGACCTACACTTTCGACAAGGTCTTCTCAGCGGCTGCGGACCAAATCACCGTCTACGAGGATGTTGTGATCCCGATTGTCAACGAGATGCTCGCTGGCTACAACTGCACCATTTTCGCGTACGGACAGACCGGAACCGGAAAGACTTACACCATGTCCGGCGACATGACCGACACGCTGGGCATACTATCCGACAATGCCGGTATTATACCTCGTGTGTTATATTCATTATTCCACAAGCTGCAGGACACAGAAAGTACTGTCAAGTGTTCTTTCATCGAGCTGTACAACGAAGAGCTCCGCGACCTGCTTTCGGCCGAAGAGAACCCCAGACTGAAGATCTTCGAAAATGAGTCAAGGAAAGGCCACAGTGGAAGTACGCTTGTACAGGGAATGGAGGAAACGTTCATCGACTCTGCGTCCACCGGCATCAAACTTCTCCAGGAAGGTAGCCACAAGCGTCAAGTTGCCGCCACCAAATGCAACGATCTGAGTTCCCGGAGTCACACGGTGTTCACCATTACCGTGATGACGAAACGGACAACGGAGTCTGGCGAAGAGTATATTAGCTCTGGAAAGTTAAACTTGGTCGATCTGGCTGGTAGCGAGAACATCCAGCGCAGTGGGGCGGAGAACAAGCGTGCGGCAGAAGCTGGTCTTATCAACAAGAGTCTGCTCACTTTGGGCCGGGTCATCAATGCCCTGGTCGACAAAAGCCCCCACATCCCCTATAGAGAGTCGAAACTCACTCGCCTCTTGCAAGACTCACTTGGTGGAAGAACCAAGACATGTATTATTGCGACCATCTCGCCGTCACGCAGCAACCTGGAAGAGACGATTTCCACATTGGACTATGCATTTCGGGCCAAGAACATTCGCAACAAACCCCAGATCAACTCCACCATGCCGAAAAAGACCCTCCTGCGAGAATTCACAACTGAGATCGAAAAGCTAAAGGGCGAGCTTATTGCCACGAGACACCGGAACGGCGTGTACATGAGTGTTGATGCATACGAAGAGATGACCATGGAGAGCGAGTCTCGCAGGATTGTTAACGAGGAACAACGCGCGAAGATTGAGTCTATGGAGTCCAGCCTGCGCCACAAGGTCCAGGAGCTTTTTTCTCTTACGAGCAATTTCAACGACCTCAAAAAGAACAATGAAGAGACACGGAATGCACTGAAGAAAACGAACGATGTCCTCGAACAAACTGAGATTGTCCTTAAGGATACCAAATCGCAACTTGAAGAGGAAGAAATTCTCCGCAAGGCGCACGAGGATACAGAGGCTCACCTTCGCGACATTGGGGCTGGTCTGCTTTCCACCTTGGATACCACTGTGGCGGACATCAATGGACTTCACGCGAAAATCGAAAGAAAGACCAATCTGGACTCCGCCAACAAGGAAGCCTGGCAGGTGTCTGCGGCCGAGGTTTCGGACGTGACCCAGGTGGTCGATTCCAGACTCGAGGATTTCCAGATGCAGCACTCCGAGCTGGTGGAGGCCATGTCGAACAAGATCAACGAGTTCGTCACGACTGAGATTGAGAACATCGAGTTGAACAAATCGCAGCTGCTAGAGACCAACGACCTTTTTGACAAAGCCGAGCGGGAGGCCCATTCACAGACATGCGCTGCCCATGACGAGATGAACGAAGTACTTGAAGAGATTAAGGACCTGCGTGAAGAGGTCAAGGGTAAAGTTGGTGATGGCCTCAATGGTCTGTCTGCCGCTGCTGCTCGCATTTCCAAGGAGGTGATCGGCGAATTCGCGGATTTCAATGCCCAGCTCCATTCATCTTACAGCACCCTTGGAAAGGACCTCAAATTTGTATTTGAGGAAATGGTGGCTCAATTGAACGGGCAAAGGATGGAGATCAACAAGCTGAGATTGGAACTTCAGGAAGCCAATCAGAAAGCCGTCGAGGCGAATCGCAAAGTCTCATCGCATTTGGCACAGACTCTAGAAGAGGAGAATGCAAATGCAGAGGCTGAGCGTGATCTCCTGCTTTCTCAAGTGAAGTCTCTCATCGAAGACTCCCGCCAAAGGCAGTGTAGCCGTCTCAAGGGCAGGATCGACACGATGCGTACTGAGCTCTCTGCTTCGGGTGACTCCTTGGAGCATGCGACCGCCCATTATGATCGCCAGGTTGATGAATGGGTTTTCAAGTCGGAGCAATTTGCTAAGGATGTGATTGCCACTAAGGACGAGATGAAATCGAAGATGCAGAGTGACTGGGAGGTAAGTTTTGACTCGCGTCATTCCTCTCCAAAAATATCAATACTAATCACCTCGCAGAGTTTCGAACAACGCAACGCATCTATTCACAAAACAACTGAGGCGGTGCATGAAGAAACCGTTCGAATCGTTGATGCTCAGATGAAGAATATGAGTAAACAGATGGAAGCTTTGGATGACTTCGTAGCCAAGGCACGCTCTCAGAATGGTGTTTACCGAGACGCCCATCTTTCAAGCCTCCAGAACATGTCCTCCAACGTGCACGAGTCATATGACTTAGTCCACACGCAATTGTCGGACTTGGGCAGTCGTCTTCAGGAGCTGCAGGAAGGGGCCATCCAGCAGCAGACAAATCTACACGAGTCTGCCATGCCGTTGTCAGACGATGTGAGGAAGTCGCTCTTGGAGCTTCGCGAACACATTCAACGCCGAGCATTCGCGGAGTACGTTGCGACTGGCATCACCCCCAAGAAGCGTCACTATGAGTATCCTGCCGACCTGCCTCGGACTGAGGCACATGAGAACATCAAATCAAGGTTGAGGACCTCTAGGGAGTTTACGGCTCTTCCATTCAGTGGCGAAGACCGAATTTCGGTGCTTGATAGCTCCCCTGCCACCACACCAGCGAAAGGATTCGTTTTTCACGACGCCGAGGACGAGGTAGGATCTCTACCACCCAAGACCACTGTCACACCTTCCAACAGCGGCCTTAGGGAAGTCGATGCAAACGTCGCCGCCAAAGGCCTCGTAGCTAGTGCGGCCGATGACAAGGCCACGCGCAAGTCCTCTATCGTGACGGCTGATGCGGACTGTGATGGTGCAGAGCAGCCGCCTCCCAAGAGACGTTGTTCAAGCACCACGACCGCTGACGCCAAAATACCTCAGAAATTACTCAACCGGAAGATGGCTGGAATCATGGAGGGCCCAGAGAATGTACCACCGGTGGAAACCCCGAGTGGCAGAAGACTTCGAAATCGGCCTTCTCCTTGATCTTATCACGTTTTGTTTTTTTCGCTGTGCGGAAGCACACTGCTCGCTTGTACGTTGCGGCAGGCATTTTGAGATACCCCTGGTCTTGGCTAAGATAAATCTGGAGACGGTATTCACTTGTTTTTGTTTTGCATTTGTTTGTTCGCGTTTGGAGCATTGTTACTTGCGGGCTCTGCGATGCCTGGCGTTTTGTTCTCGTATAGGGTTCCCGCGGGATGAGAAGATACCCGGGTTTGACGTGATAGAATTCTACAGTCATGGACTTCAAAGTTGCATGATTCCAAATTCGTAGTGTTAAACCCGAGTAGATGGGTTGAGGCCTACCTACAGCTGAGCAGTGACGCCATACGCTAAAATGCCTCTCGCCGAGCCGGTATGTTTTCCAACCCAAAAGGTATCTTAGTACCAGGATGTTCCATCGGCCAGACCCCTATAGTCCCATCTCTGGCCCAGCGGTAGCGTCCTCAACCAAACCCTGGCCATTCTCATGCTGTCCCTGCTCCACACCATGTTCATCCATCTTCCCACCCGGGGAAGACTCCACCTCTGCATCCTCGATGTGCTCCCCCAGCCCGCCCGCCTCAATCACCAACCGCAGCTCCGCCAACCGCTTCGCGAACTGATCCATCATCTCCTCCAACCGCTGACAGCCCCGCTCCTTATCCCTCTCCTTGCCCAGCAGGTTATTGATCGGCAACCCCGCGGTGCCCCGGATCTTCAACATCAGTGCCCCGTTCGCCGAATGTCCCTGCCCCTGCGACGGCGTATTATTCGTATTATTCTCGAACGTCGGCGCCGGCCCCAGCTGCGCATCGAGCACCTGCCACGCCGGCGACAGACTATGCGCCGAAGTCACCACCATCGACTTGGCGTCACCACCCCCTGAGGCACCGTGATGCGGCTCCTGCTGCGGCGGCGGCAGCGGCGACGTCGCCAGCATCTCCCCACCAGCAGTAGCAGCAGTAGTATTCCCGGATTGCTCTTTCATCTCCTCCGTCCCCAAAGCACCGGGTGACGCATAGTCCACGTCGAGGATCACGTAGTGCTCGCGCACCCCTGGGATGGAATCCGGTAGTAGAGAGGGTCCTTTCTCCTCATCTTCGTAGGTGTTTTGTGCCCCTTCTTCTTGTTGTGGCTGCTGCTGCGGTCGACGCGATCGGGTCTTGTTGTTATTGTGGCCCTTTCGGGTATTGGGATTGTAGGCGAGGGTCGGATCGGATTCGCTCTCCAGCGCGCGGAGGGTGGCTTCGGTGACGATGTCGGTGTCGTCGTCGGCGAAGATGTAGTGGACGGTTGGGTGGTGGTATTCGGAGGTGTTGGCGTCTTCGATGAGGGTGAAGAAGGGTTGGAAGGCGGACGTTGATGTTGGTGGGAGTGTGGGTTGGTCGGTGAGGGGGGCCGGAGGGATCGTGGCTGCTGGTGGTGGTGGCGGTGGGTCGGGGATGTTTTCGAGGTGGTGTTGTTGCGCGGTTGGCGGTCGGTCGATGATGCTTTGGGGTCGGGAGGTTGGGAGGTGGTTGTGGTTGGCTGAGATGCGGCGGATGGATTGTTTGGATGGGGAAGAGGAGAGGGGGGACGGGGTGGTGTGTTTTGGTAGAGACATTTTTGGTGGGAGATGGAATTAGGGTGAGAAGGGAAGGAAGGGCGAGGCTACATCATGGTTGTGGTGTATGTTCGAGGGTGACTCGGGATAGCTCAGGGTCGTATTGAAGTGAGTATCGATCCGATCTGGGGAAATTGGCTGCGATCGAACGATTGGCTGGGTTGCGCTCTTATCGATAAGGCAGGATAAGACCGGTCAGGTGATCCGATCGCCGATTGTAAATACTCGGCGCTGCTTGGGATGATTGCTAGGATGGGGTATATGTACATGAATGAGGAGATGCAGAATTGCATATAACAATGAGTACCTAATGAAACCAGGTAGAATGGAATGGGTATCGTAGTGGCTGAGCCTGTCAACGCCTTCTTCGAATGAACAGCAGATGGTCATTCATCAGCTATTGTTGTTGTTCTTGTTGTTGTTCTTCGTCATTCTGTTTCCATTCGAATTCTGCACGTAAAGCCTAAGTGCATATTCAGAAAGTGATGCCATGATAGTGACTTACTCTGTCGGCACATGGGACAGAGTCCCTTGGAGGACTCTTGCTGGATCCATGTCATCAAACAGTGCTGGGTTCGGTCAGTAGTGTCTCGCTTGCGCCATGAGGACATTGGGATCCGCAATCGCACCATATGAAAGGAATGGCCGCATTTCCCAAGCACTGGAGTCCCGCATCAGTGAGGTTAGAAGTGTCTCCAATAACGGGCAGGAAGAAGAGATCTCACGTAAAGAGCAATCGTCGCCGGGAAACTTGCAGGTCGGACAGGTACCATCGAACTGGACGCGGCAAATACCACAGACCTCATCGTCGGGCATGTCCCAGCGCCAGGTCGCGACGGCGTTCCACTCTTTGATAGTGACCTTCATGATTAATTTGGGCTTGAGCTTGTACTTGGGCTGGACACCAGACCGAAAGTGAGGACGCAGACGCAAAACTGGGAGGAGGAAGGAGAGTGGAATCGATACTAGGTAAGCGGGATTGTTTACCCGGTTGATTTTCACATGGTCGGCCGCTCTCCGCATCGGTGATAGGAAAGGAAGTCAACTAACTCATTCTCATTCCAGTCATTCCTCCTCCTCCACTACTCCGCACACACACTCATCATCAACCCCTCTTCATCTCGTTTATCATTTCCCCTGCTCTAGCTGGTGGATGAATAATCCCACTTCCTAAGTCCTAACCGGCATGTAAATACCCTCTTGCCTCCACTTCCTACCTTACTCTCTCAATATGGCTTTCGCAACCCTTCGTAACTCTATCCCTTCACCGACTCGCCTGATCCGTTCGACCATGTCGTTCTCACAACAAGCGCGCCAGCAACTCCAGAGTCGCCCCTACTCTTTCGCTTCATATCTGGTAACTCCTAAAGAGTTGGACACTGCTTTGAAAAAGAACCCAGCTACAAAGATCTCAACCGCCCCACGCGTAGTCCCTCTATGCGCCGCCTGGTTCATGCCAAACGACCCCGAGGGTCGCAAAGGTATCGACATTTTCCGCAACCACCGCATCCCCGGAGCTCGTTTCTTCGACCTCGATGCTGTCAAAGATCATGAATCTCCATACCCGCACATGCTTCCCACCGCTGAAACATTCGCCGAAGCCATGAGCGAGCTAGGTATTCGCCGGGACGACGAAGTGGTGGTCTACGACTCCGCGGAGGTCGGTATCTTCAGCGCGCCTCGTGTTGGTTGGACCCTCCGAGTCTTCGGACACCCGCGGGTCCATGTTCTGAACAACTACAAAGTGTGGCTTGCCGATGGTTTCCCCACGGAGACCGGAGAGCCCCAGCAGCCTGAGAAGACCAACTACCCTGTCCCCACGTACGACTCCAAGCTCGTGATCCCGTACCGGGAGCTGAAGGAGATCGCCAAGGAGCACAGAAAGGAAGGTGCGAAAGAAGTGGAGATCCTTGATGCACGGTCCTATGGCCGCTGGGCGGGCACCGACCCTGAACCGCGCCCGGGCTTGTCTTCAGGGCACATCCCGGGCTCTAAGAGCCTTCCGTTCCAGGAGTTGCTGGACCCCGAAACCAAGACGTTCCTGCCCGGGCCCGAGCTGCGCAAGATTTTCGAGAGCAAGGACATCGACACGAGTAAGTCGATTATCAGCTCGTGCGGCACCGGTGTAACGGCGACTATCATCGAGACGGCATTGGCTGAGGCGGAATACGGCGAGCCAAACCTTCGGAGGGTTTACGATGGGAGCTGGACGTGAGTTTTGGAACCCTTTCTTCTCTCTTCAATGGCTTATTTGCTGACCCCGGCGATAGTGAATGGGCACAACGTGTTAAGCCCGAAGAAGGTCTGATTAAGAAGACGGTCTAGACAATGCGACTGACGATGGCCCAGCCCGGTGCTTATTATCCAGAGTCTGAGATATTATTATTGGTATGAGGTGGTGGTTTTTTCTTTCTCTCAATTGTTCTAGCTTGTTCGAGCGACAGCACATACCAGGAGATTACTCCAATTCGAGTCATAAACTGTACGCAAAGGATGAAATGTCCCGAATAGAAGACTTGTGTGTAATGGTGGCCATGAATGATTTCAATTAAGGGGAGTCAGAGCTTAGTGAGTGACTCTTACTAGTCAACTCCCAGTGAGCTTGTCGTAAGACTGAGGTCAAATTGCATAAATACTACCCAATTCTCGTAGACAACAAACTGATAGTCACGGGCGGCGCGGAATTATCCTGCGCTTAGTCAGGATGCCGACGAATCCCGCGGCTTGGAGTTGATCCGCTGCTGAAGGTCCTCTCCTCTCTCTCCTCCTTCTCACTCATCTCATTGCCTCATTAATTCCTTACACAATCGTTTATTCGGATCGCAAAATGCTGCAGATGACCGTTCTTTGTGAATTAGGATTGCATTGTAAGTGAAACTGTCAGCCCTTTCGACGCCCTGCGAAGTCGGGGCCACACCCCCCCCCCCCCCGGGACGTCCACTACTCTCTCTGGCTGCGAGCCAGGGCCCCCACATTCCCATATTCCTCCGCCTCCATTAATCCTAATTAAACCTCCCTCGCTGGATCCAGCATCACGCTAACCACGCCTGCGGCTCGGTCGCAGTCGTCAAAGCTAGCTATTTGGTATAGGGCCGTTGTGCCGTGCGAGTATCTTCATTTTTAAGCAACGCGACCTGTTCTGTCGATCGCCGGAGGGCAATTATGACGACCGGACGCAAGGTCTTCCACTGCGCCGTGGATGAGACGGCGTTAACCACCAACATCAGCGAAATCAAAAAATGGACGACCAACGGGGCCATCACTCTGATCGTGCCTCTGTACAGTAAGTCGAGCGGAGTTCATTTACCTTGACGGTTACTGATCTAGTGCTCCTCCTCAGCCCTTGAACGCCTCCATGCACTTAAGAGAGCGGGGTCGCAGGTCGCCATCAATGCCCGCGAGGCTGTCCGGTTCCTCGACCGGGTCACTTCCGGCAAGGACAACATTTCTTCCGAGCGGGTGGCTTTGCAGGGTCCCATGGAGCAGTACGAGAACTGGACGGAGGCAGAGAAGTTCTTCCTGCCCGAGTTCGAGGAGGATCCGGAGGCGAACGATGGACTCGTCTCAAACGGCCCGACGGCGCACCCCGACGAAAAGAGTAAAATATCCAAAAAAAACGGCGCCTCCCCGGACGATCTCTCTCAGATGCTACTCAGCAAGTTGAATTTCAAAAAGGAACTCGACGCAGTCTCGAACACGTCCAACGGAACCCACAGTGCACCCTCCCGCCCGTCTTCCCGGAGCTCTCGGACCAGCCCCGAATGTGCAAACTCGCAGGTGATAACCAACGAAGGAGGATCCAAGGACAACAAGACGAAGCGCGCCGAGGGACATCGCCGTTCTGCGTCTGGGTCGGCCATCCCCACGGTCCCGCCTGTGCTCAGGCCGCTGCTCAGCGCGCTGCTGTGGCGACTGCACCAGGGGCCCGATGCTTCGAACGCCGCCAAGACTTGTATTCTGATTACGAACGATCCACAGACCCAGCTTTGGGCCCAGAAATTCGGCATTGGGGTCAAGAACATTCATCAGCTGCGAACATCGATTCAATACGAAGAGCGAGAGTACAAAAACCGATGCAAATATGTCGAGAAGACTCAGGCGACGACCAGCGAACCGAAATCGCTTCTTTCCTACGAGGATGAGAGCGACGAAGACGAGCTCGTCTTCGTTCCTCGCGGCGGTCGGGGCAAGGGAGCGTCGCGCGGCGGCGGCTCTCGTGGGGTCAACAGCCGCAAGGCGCCTGTCGTCAAAAGTGCAGCCCCGCCTGTCGAGGCGACTATGGAGATCCCTACTCAACCTATCGATCCGAATTCGTTTAGTCGTTCTCTTGGTCCCACCAAGCAGCCGCCCACGGTCGACCTTAGCACTCAGTCGGGAGCCGCACGGGGCATCGCGGGTGCGTCTCGGAACCATGCCAACAACCGCCGAGGCGCCTCCCGAGGCCCGACTCGTGGTAGTGGTAACAGCCGGGGCCGTGGGAAACTCTGGGTTCCTTGATCGTATGGGCCGGTTCGTCAATCATACGACGGACGAATCGCACGTTTTCCAATACCGATGAAGACCGACGCGGTTGTTACTTGAAGCAACAAAATTGAGTCCTTCTGCCTTAGCCGGGCTGCCTTTTAGTTCGACCTCTGTCGATTTCGACTTGACTTCATGGATGAGGCGAATGGGTCCTGGACAGGTGGCATGGCATCCGAACTGGTAGACGAGATCTAAGCGCTTAGTCTCGAGAGAGCCTACAACGATGACCGCTCAGGTGGTAAGGGAGCTGTCGGAGAACCGGGCTGCATGTTGGCCCGACTTCCTCTGACGAACGTCTCGAGATTCTGTTGAGGCTCGTAGCTGTCTGGGTCCATCACTTTTGCTTTAGTGGGAGGAGGCGTTTGCTTTCATTTTCCCTCCTAGGACTTTGCTGGTAGGAAGCCCGGAGCAAAAAGGATTAAGTCCGGAGGAAGCTAGCTTTTCGACATGTTCTACTCTGCAATTACGAAAACAGATACAGCAGTTGCTCTTCGCTTTACGATCGATTTTGTGGGCATATTTTGGGCTGGTGGAGGGGTTGTGTTGGTGGTGGGGGAGGGGGGAGGGAAGAAGAGCAGGCCAAAAATACTCGGAATATTTATCAAGGTAGCTTGCCAGACAATATGAGTTATTGTGACATCGTATCACATTGTATCATGGGGGGGGGGGGGGGCTTGAAGGAGTAGGGAGTATAGCGATCTCTCTCCACATATGACATCGTGCGCCACCAGTTGGCTGGGCTGGGCTAGGCTGGGGTCCCGTGGATCGGCCTGCCACTGGGCCATCACTTGACCTGACCACCAGTACCACCCCATCGATCGCCCTGACAACAACAACCTACGAAGCTGCTGGTGATCCTTTGACTTGTTTGAACTGGTGGAAGGGACTAGCTAAACTTATTTATACCTCGGGAGGTCCCTTAGTTCTTGCAGCCGAGTACTCCACCAATTTCTTTAAAGCACTGCAACAAAACAGCACTTGCTTAGTTCTGACCATTCCCATCTATATCATCGGAGAACATACGTCACACCTCACCATGGACACCAGCGCCAGCGCCATCGACCAGACCCCTCTCTCCGCATCCCCCACCGAGCGCCGTGATTCGCTCGAGAAACACCTCCAGCATCGCCCGGACGTCCAGGACCTGAAAGAACGACACATCCTCCTCGACACCAATGTGGCTCCGTACGTGGCTGGCACCCACCAAGAAACAACAACTCTCACCGTCCCCTCCCGCCCTAACATTCCGTATCAAATAGATCCCTCCAAGCCGCCCACCAGGACCTCGCCCGCCACCGCACGGCCGACGACCTGAAGAAGCACCTCGAGCACCGACCCGACCGCGAGGAACTCGTGGAGCGTGAGTCCCACCCCCTACCCCACAGCCCTCTAGCGTGGTGCAATGTATACTCGAACGTGGGATGATATGCTGATGTGTGTGTGTGTCGGGAAGGCAACATCCTCCCCTCGTCGACCGCCGCCCCCGCCCTGCAAGCCAACGCCCGGGAGCTGGAGAAGCACATGCTGGCCGATCATCTGGACCAGAAGATCGGGGCCCGGCCGGCGCCGGATGAGCTGATCTCGCAGGGGATCCTGACGGAGGATGAGGATCCGCGGTTCCCGACTGTTTAGTTGGGGGTGTGGTGCGGATGTGGTATGATATGATTGATGCTGGATGGCTGGATGGCGTTTGTTGAGTTTAGTTTGTATTTCGCTCGTGTTGATGTTTGTTGCGGGCGAGGCTGTACTGCAGCAGCAGGTAGTGCTAGTGCTAGTGCTATTATTATTAATTTATCCTTCGTATTGTTCTGTTCATACCCCTACACTACAAATTACTCCTTTTTTTGTGTCCCAGTAACCCCGACTATAGTTCTAATCCTACACCACCACCATCACCCAAGCATCATGTATCATACACCAAAGACAATATCCCCTCAATCAATCAGATAAGAATCCCCCCCGAAATCCGGCCTCCACCCCTTGGGCCGCTCACTCCCGCGCACCAGGATCCCATACGCCGCGCGCTCCACCTTCTCCACAGACCCCTGCATCACCTCGGTCTTGCGGCCGATATCCCGGAACATGGCCCCGGCATGCCGTCGCGGGATACTCAGGAGCTCGATGGCCGACCGCATCGCCCGGAGATCCACGACGATGGCGGTTTGCTCGGGGCGGAGGTGGATTTTCTTGCCGTCCCCGTCCTTCTTGCTGGTAGTACCATGATTTGCACCCTCAATCGTGGCCGTTGACAACCCCGTCACCGCAAACCGCATCACCTCCCCCGTGAGATCGAAAACCCCCATCAGGTAATCCTCCTCCGTGAGCGGGATGCCGTCCGGCAGGTGAGCCCGCACTTCCGGCATGGTGATGAGGGTCTGGGTGGTCAGGTAGTGGCGGAAGGAGAGCGCTTCGATGAACTCCTGGATCGCGCCGCTGAGTTGGCGCTGGTAGCGGTGGCGGTGCAGGGTGGCGAGGTCGGGGAGGGTGGATTCGAAGAGGCGCGTGATTTGCGTGAAGCGGTGGGTGGTTTCGGTTGCGATGGCGGGGGGGAGGGGGGAGGCTGGGGTGCGGATTCTGGGAGGGTTAGGGTCTGGGTGGTGATTGGGATTGAGGTAAGGTAAGGTAAAGGTAAGGAAGGTACCGTTGGAGGGAGAAGATTCTGGTGATCGGGTTTAGTGTTAGTTAGTGTTTGTTTTAGTTGAGAGGGAGATTTGAGGGAAGGGATGGGGAGGAGTGAGTACATCTTCTTGCTGAGAGCTGTGATGTCGCGGCTGGTTTTGATTAGGCGCTCGCGTCGGTCGTGGTGTTCGTCTAGTTCGTTGCGGAAGGTTTCGAACATGCTTTGGATTGAGGCGGGGGCTGGGGCGGCGGAGGTCATGGTTGCGGGTTCGAGGGGTTGGCCGTCCCAGGTGCGTTTTGTGCCGGCCATGGGAGTTGGAGGGATTTGAGGGGTTGTAAAGGAGAGGGAGGGACGGGATGGAGAAGGAGGGGATGCAACGCGCTCGCCGTCGATGTCATTTCTGCGGTGTGGGGCCTTGCTGCTTTGGGGTGATTCGGCTTATCTGATAAGATTGCTATCGCTACAGTATACTTTTGTGAACGATAGGAACATTTGGATACTGAACAGAGCTTGTCTTGGAGAGAAACCACACTGGGAAATAGATGGTTGTCGATCTTTTTGAGTTATTCTATTGAGGTAGGGAGGGGGAGCAAAGGAGCCCCCCTTTCACAGGCAGTCGTCACAGGCAGAGTAGGATTGTTCAATTCAAGCTGATCATGTTCAACGAGACATACGATATCATCATCGCACATTAGTGACTTCCTGACTACCTACAGTCAAAAAGTCTCTGGCACAATCATCATCAGTGATCAAGATACTTGTACTTCAGCGAGTCACCCCCCTTCAATCCCCGGACCGTGACAGTCTGATCATCACCGGGTATAATGTCCATCGCGCTGTCGCTGATCTTGACTCCATCCCGCTCTTCAAACACCAAGCATTTCACTGGCTTCTGCGCGCTGATCTTCAACGTCTGCTGCTCAGCTGTCTCAGAGATCTTCTCCGCCACAAGCCCCCGTTCCGAGAAATCGAGGTACTTGAACGGCTGAGGCCAGTCCACATCCCTTGCGACAATCTGCCCGTCGACCCACAAGCGGGCAGCCAGCACGTGTGGCTCGGGATACTCCTTATAATCAATCAGACCGTCCAAGATAAGGTTGGTGGTGCCATTCGGCTGGATGGTGATGTTCTCGTGGACCACCTTTTCCCTAACCTCCTGACCATCGTTGATGGAGAGGAATCTGAGTTCCACCGTTCCTGTCCTTTCCTCCTGAGCGGAGCTAACAACCCAGAGCTCAAACTTGCTCGTCTTCGGAGGCTGGGCATGCGTAACGCTCCAATCATGGTGTTCGCGTCGGACACCCACAGCCAACGGAGCCAATACGCGTGCCACAGCGTAGAATGCCGGCTTGGGTCGCAGGAAGTAGTCCACAATAGCCCATGAGATAGTCGGCCAGCAATCGTTGAGTTGCCAGAGCAAAGCACCGCCGCAGTGTCTCTCATCGCCCCACTGCCGACGCCACCCTCGATACCCGAACATCATGGTCTCAGCTTGAACAACTTGCGTGAGATAGGTGTAGGTCTGGCTCATTAGCGCGGGTTACCTTGTGTGGCCGTGGGATCTCACCTCCAAGTCTGTAGCTGTCTTTAGGTTCTCCACCAGGTATGTAGCAATACGCCGCTCATGTCCGTCAGCTTTGTTGTGGAAGTCGAGGACGTGCGACTGCGGGTACTTGTCTTTCTCGTGCTCGACGAAGTGGTTGATGGTCGATAGGTGAGGGAATGCCTCCATGCCGAACTCACTGTTGAATCGTCCGCCCAGGGTATCGAAAATCTGGTACTTTTCCTGCGTTCCATGCCAGACTGTACTTGGTCAGCAATTAATGCTACATGTGCGGGAAACGGGCATTACCATTCCACTGATGCATGTCGCCTACTGTCGGATCGGACGTTTTCTTGCCATCTCCCCATGGGCTTCCGGGATGATAGAATGTCCGTGGAGAGTGTTTATCCATCACCTCTGGAAGCAGTTTCTCGTATATGTACCGAGCTGGAAAGTCCGTCTTCAGCCAATTCTCGGGGTTCTTGTCCTCGAAGTCATAGGTCAGACCTGCCGACTCTTGTACTTGGTAGTCCTCGTTATTTCCAGCATAAAGCACAATAGACGGATGATGTCGCAGCCGGCGCACATTATAGGCGGCTTCTTTTTCGATCGACTCAAGCAGCTCGGGCCAGGTCGGGTAGTTGCCGCAGCCGAACATGAAGTCCTGCCATACAAGCACACCAAGTTCGTCGCATGCTTCGTAGAAATTGTTGTCTTCGTAGATACCGCCGCCCCAAACCCTGTTGCTGTAAGCAAGACTGAAATGTATCCGCATGGGCCAACCTACCGAATCATAACTTGGCGACCAGCGACCATAAGTTCAATCCAGCTCCGATAGCGCTCACGGGTAATGCTGGGCAAGAGGTTGTCTGCGGGGATCCAGCACGAGCCACCACAAAAGACGTCGACTCCGTTGATTCGGAAGAAGAACGACTTGCCGTGCTTGTCTGGCCGCTGAACGACCTCTGCCGTTCTTATGCCAATCTTTTTCGAGACATGATGCAGTTCAATCTGATCCTTCTCCAAAAAAACAGAGACCTCGTACAGATTTGGGTCTCCGTAACCATTTGGCCACCAGAGGCTTGGTTGATCGATTTCGAATGTCACTTTGGCGACCTTGTTGTCGGGCGTGGTGACCTGCCGAGCAATCTCCTTACCATCTTTATTCAAGGTGAAGATGGCTCGAAAGGAAGAGTTCTCTGTGGCATCAATCTCGGCGTAGGCATCAACCTGCGCATGCCGGTGATCCGCAGCAAGATCTACGTCCGTCCAGAGGTCCGCGATTCTTGCCGAGTATACTTCCAACCGAACGTCTCGCCAGATGCCCGCAGTCATCAGCACTGGGCCCCAGTCCCAGCCCCAGTGATACTGAGCCTTACGAACGGCTAGTCGGGCCGGATCGCCGTTGAAGGAAGCCCAGTTGTGCTTGGGGTCCTGCTCTCGGAGCTCCTTGGCTCGCAGCATGGCACAATCAAAGTCGATGAGAAGCACATGATCACCCTCGGCCTCCAGGGCTTCGGTGACGTCAACGCGATGAGCTAGGAACATGTTGTTGCTCTCGAGAATGATCTTATCGTCCAGTCTCACCGTAGCAAAAGTATCCAAGCCGTCGAACGCCAGAACGACCCTGGATCCAGCAGGGACGGTCGGCTTTTGGAATACATGTCTGTAAGACCATGACTTCGCATTGACCCATCTTGCCTCGAGCTCATTGAAGCCAATGTAAGGGTCTTGCAATCTGTGTGCTCCGCGTTAATACCATGCCAAGAGTCCAGAGGCTGATGATGGCACACCTTCCATTTGCCTGTAAGTCCTGATGAACGACAGACGGCACGCTAGAAACGGACATCCAAGCATCAGATGCCTGTTCGTCGCTATCCTTGAAGGACCATCCGGTGGTCAGAGGATGCTGAATGAAACTCGCCATATTGGAAGCCAAGGAGGGGTAATGACGAGTCAATGGCAACAATGCGTGAAAGCTCAACAAGTGGGAACCGATCGATGGCCCTGTGAATGCTTTTTGGCAACGAAGGGGAGACTCACACTCTTTGTATCTTGAATCTGATATCTAATGGTTTCAGATGCCATGAGGGAAGTATAGAGCAAGGGAAGAGCTCCACGGAGATATCTCCGCATTCCACGTGCTGTCATTGCCTAATCGGGCAATCGACGGGCGGCTTCTCCTCCTTTCCCAAAACAGTCTTCCCTCTTCCACTCAGTGAGTGCTGCCAGTGACTCGGGAGTCCCCAAGTCCTACACTTTCGCACTCAACATCCTGAACTGTCTCACCATCACCCGTCAGTCTTTGAGTTTCAACACGGCTCATCGTCAAAATGTCTCAAATGAGCCAAGTGATGGGACAATGAAGTGATCAGACAAAGAATATCCCGAGCGCTGTCCGAGTCAGTGCAAAGACACGACCGACAAGAAATCCCTCCCGTCTTGGGAGGCATATAAAGTGACTATTCTCTGTATCTCGAACCATGCTCCTCTCACTGAAACCAATCCTCGACATTCCTCCCCCCTACTTTACTGCTTTAGGTGCGGATGATGCTCCACGCAGCTGTGGTTGGTCTCCCGTCTGATCGAATCCTTCCCTGTGCTTGGAGATTCTTGTTCCTGACAGCCCTGAAGATCACTAGTTAAACTGAACGTAAATCCTCTGATCGGTGCTGAATCACTCTCGACCACCTTAAACCTGGATTCAAAGCGAACTTGTACCCTCACCCCATTGCCAAATAAGCGATTTTCTCTGCCAGAATCTCATTGGTTGGTACGCCGGTCACTAGCCCGACCATTGTCGCTTAGCGAAACGAACGACATTTCCAGCAGCTAATTGCAGGACCATGGGGTGTCAACACTCTCAACACTCAACAGCCGGGGCAAGTGCCTCGGTTCTCACTGTGCTTCCGCCCTTCCCGCCTCCCGTTGCTTCCACAGTCATGCCGGGGTACCTTACAGGAAATGGAGACAGGTTCCTCCTTGGAGCGCTAACCATTCGATGCGGCATGTGATGAGTGAGCAATTTCGCGCTCTTGGCGTTCATCGCAATTAGCCTGATCACTTTTGCCTAACCAATGCGGGCCACTCTGCGTCGAGTCTATTTTGCGATTGGCTGTCGTCCTCGAGTACCCCAGAATCCGTGTCAAATCACACGCACCTCTGTCCAGAAGCGTCCTAAGTGGTGTGAAGCCGCTTATTCTATCAACCGGCATCAAACTCGCTTGGAGCAACCAGATGGGCCAGGAAATGCTCTGAACTGGGACCAAAGTCTATCACCGCTTTTGCCACTCATGAATGCAAAGCTCTAAGATGGAGCCGGGAGCCCACGGACCAGTTGACTTACGGGATTGGACATAGGCGACGGATTCTAAGCGGCGGTGCGCCAACAGACTCCGACCCCGTCATGGGGTTTAATTAAAATAGGGTGTCCAAGCCGGTCATCCTATGCGGGGTCAGAGCTGCAATTGGCGGGGACAGATTTCCCAAAGAGTCAGACCCTGCGAAGGTGCTGGAATGAGAAATTTCTTGAACCCTGCTATTATCGCCTGCGCCGTCGCGACAGGAAAAACCCCGTCAGATTCTGACAATGGACTCAGGAGCAGTAAGCTCGAGCAGCACGGATGAACGGAGGCTGTTGAATCGGGTATACACCAACCACTTCCGATGGAAATCGCAGTCAGACGCAGTTGGTCTTTCTGCCTATTTGTGGTTGTTGCTCGGACATCGAGTGGCGCCACCCCTGTTGGTTTAATATATTGATGTG